AAATTTATTTTTTCTCCGTCTTCATTTTTCCTTCATAAAATGAAAAATGAAAGCAAATATTGTTTTTAGGTAAACGTCATATTATCCATAAGGAATGGTTCCATGCTGCGTGATTTACTGAATTTGGTTCCATTGAAAACATTCCGTGTTTTTATCATTACGATGTACACTTTACGGGAATTGTGTCTTTATTTCTAATGCGTGTGGCTATTTCCATTTTAAGTGTGTACATATTCCACAGTTTGAGAGCTCTCGGCTGGTTTTCCTTGGTAAGCCTGAGTTACCTCCCTTAGATTATACTTCCCTCTGTGTGCCACAGTTTATACTATATTTGTCACCGTGACACTCGATTTGTTGTCGCTTGTCTCCTTTGAATTTGAACTGGTACGCCTACCTGCAAACCTGCATATCGACTGCAAACGAGCAGCGGGTCTACAATACTCTGTTTAAGCCCCCTTTACACAGGGCTGCGACCTTTGTGCCACCTTTGAGCTATCAAAAACCTGCTAGGACGCTCAATGGTCGCCTGAACCCAGAAAATCACGTATCTATGTAACTGCTCCAGCAGTTGTTTAGCAGTAACTGCTCGAGTTGTTCAGCGTCTGCAAACACAGTGAAACGCTGCAGGTACAAACCCTCTATTTATAGGCAGGCTGAGGAGGCACTGCAGGTAGCTCAAAGGAAGCAGAAAAGAGGCAGAAGCATTGCCTAGGTGTCTCAAGGGTTGCCGTGGTCGCCGAATGGAGGCACAGCGGTCGCCAGTCATCGTTCAATGCACGGTGTTGGTCGCCCAGAGGAGGCACAAGGGAGGCAGAAGCATCGCCCAGATCGACGGGAAAAATTTGCAACAGCACGTATCTTTTACCTGGCGACTATTCGACGACCACTGTGCCTTCATTCTGCAACAACGGCAATGCTTGTGCTACCCTTCTACCTCCTTTGAGCAACCAACCTCCTCAGCGACCTTTGTGCGACTGTTTTAAACATGTTCAAAAATTCACGGCGACCATGGCGTCCATGGCGATGTCTGAACCTCCTGTGTACCACCTTGGAACGACCTAGGCAACCATTCTGCCTCCTTTGAGCCTCCAACGACGTCCTGGCAAATTGTATGGTCGTACACGGGAGGCACAAAGGTCGCCATCCTGTGTAAAGGGCAGGCCCCATAAGACGAAACTGGCGATTGAGCGCTTCCAACATGTCGTCCAACATGTTTCTGTACTGGGGGTCTGGAAGCGTTAATTGCTGGGTGGCCATGATTGTGCTGGAAGAAAAGGGACTGGCGGGCTACCCGAATAAGAAGATTTCTTTCAGCGAGAAAGAAAACAAATTGGAAGAAATAGTGAAACTCACTCAGGCATGGGGCTCAAAAGTGCATCGTCACCGTTTTCTGCCGAGACGATTGCACCAGTCAAAAATGTTATACCTGCACTATTTGGATTTTGTTTTGTTATTTTGCAGATATATTTTTAATCATTTGAACAACACACATCCATTATTCAAGAGAAACTTGCTGTTTTGGAGATCACTAAATTATCAGATGTTAAGATAGGCTTTAAAAACAAAACAATATTGTCTGCATGAACCCGTTAACAAACATGAGGTACCGTTCGCAACACATCTCCATGATTACGGAGTCTTGCAAATGTCGAAACAATTAATTAGGAATTCATTATCCTTTTGAATATTTGATTTATGTTGATATGGATATTATTATTTGTTCGTTCGAAGACCAGCAAAATGCTTAGGAGGCAAACGAGCATATCCTGATAATGTCCATCTCTACTGAACACCATCAAATAATCTATTCATTTCACAGATAACGCAAACTATTCATTTTGAGCACAATTCTGAACAAACTGTTCATTTAAAATGGACAAATGAATGTCCCTTTAGTAGCATCCCCGTGTTCGAGGGTAAAAACTGCATCACTTCAACAAACGGTCCATGCTAAAAGTGACATACTGCTTGATTATAAAATGTCCTCCATGTAACATTTTGGGTTTTATTGGTATCATATCTTGATATTTATGATATTTGATATTTATACTAAGTTCAGTATGATACCATGTCACATGTCTGACCAGTGACAAGTTTTATGTCATCACTGTGACAGCTTGCAGGGCCTTTATGTCATTTTGTTTGCGGTAAATTCTTGTTCTCAAACTGTGGAGACAAGAACAACATCCAGCTGGGTGAGTCCGTCAGTAATGTTTATCCCTACCTGTTGTGGTAGCCGTGATTTAATGAATGAATGTTGTGTTCCTTATTAATTGTATATGGTATATGGATTGTACTTGAATCAACGTTTGACCGCCTCCGTGGTCTAGTGGTGGAGCGTCCGACCGGAGAGCGGAAAGTCCGGGGTTCGATCCCCGACCGCGTCATACCAAAAGACGTTAAAACATGGTACTTGTCACCCTGTCTGGCTGGTTTTGGTTTGGTTGGTTTGTTGTTTTACGCCGCACTCAGCAATATTCCAGCTATATGACGGCGGTCTGTAAATGATTGAGTCTGGACCAGACAATCCAGTGATTTACATCATGAACATCGATCCACGCAATTGGGATCGATGACATGCATCAACCAAGTCAGCGAGCCTGTCCACTCGATCCCGTTAGTCGCCTTTTACGACAAGCATAGTCGCCTTTACTGGCGCTCGGCATTGAGGAGCTAAAACAAGGACTGGTCGGCATGGAATCAGTATACTATGTCTGAGTTGGGTATCCATGTCAAACTGCGGCATGGTATATCAGTGTGCTATAGCGCTAGCACTATAAATCGGCATCAGTACGGACTAGTACAGGCAGCCACACACACACACACACACACACACACACACGTGCATGCACGTCGCTATAAGTGCAATAATCCTGGGCGCGACGTTAAACCCCATTTCACCTCACCTCACCTTGGATCCAAGTTTCAAAGAACAGCTTGTAGTAAATTCTTAAAGATGATTAATATTTTTAGATGACCATTGATATATATCCTCAGTAATCTGCGCTGGTCGTAGCGGGCGACTGGAAAGCGTGACATCGTTGCCCGACGGCGTGGGTTGTTGCTTAAATATCAATAGTCCAAACTCGATTATATACAGGCCGTTACAGACGCAAACAAATAATCTAATATATGTCTTCCCTTACTTCAGAGCGGAGACTACGTTGCTTCTGAATGTGTCGCATTCGCGGTGAGACTCGGCCTTGACGTCTCGAAATATCTCGCCATTCCGTGCCTACTACGACAAGGTCAAGGACAGACCATCATGGAAAGCATCATGGCCGCCACACTGAGCGCCTGTCAGCATCACAACGGTGCTCGTGGTAAACATATGATGCTACCGCATTTAAGCAACACCCTGTGATGTGATTTAAATACTGTTCAAGGCGGCGTTATATTTTTAACTTATCCCACTCACGTTTACTCCACCCGCTCTACACTTCCACCCTGGAATAATGCTGAGTGCGGCAACAATTCTCCGATTTCCGTATCTGCAACGCTCATTCTTTCCGGAACAATTATTATGGCGATCTCATGTTGGTACTAACATTTATTTCAACAGTCTGGTTATGTTTAAGTTTTGTAAAGGTATTTGTTATGTGCAACAAGTGAGTGAGTGAGTGAGTGAGTATGGTTTTACGCCGCTTTTAGCAATATTCCAGCAATATCACGGCGGGGGACACCAGAAATGGGCTTCACACATTGTACCCATGTCGGGAATCGAACCCGGGTCTCCGGCGTGACGAGCCAACGCTTTAACCACTAGGCCACCCGACCGCCCCTTATGTGCAACATACAAAGACACGAAACTTTATGTTGGTGCTGTAGCTGCCGTGTGCCCTTTTTTATTGTTTAATAAATAGAAACATTCCATGACCTCGCTTGTTCTGATTGGCTGGCTGCGACAATGGTGCTGTTTGATCAAGCAGTGACGTAAATAATCAAATGTGTCTTCTTATTTTCCCAGAACCATAGCCATTTGTTATACCGCGTACATATGGACGATCTCCGACAGTTACCTTTCCTCCCATATCACTCTAGTGACTGACATCTGGCAATCGGCTGTTTGTCATAACCTATTTCAACATGATGGTCATAACTCTCTCACTACATCGTTATTGCCCCGTGAAGTTCCGAACACCCGATCCAATTAGTCGCCTCTCACAAGGACAGTCGCATCTTACAGCAAGCATGGATTGCTGAAGACCTATTCTCTACCCGGATCTTCACGGGTCCGGTGACAAGGTATTAGTCAACGTATATATCCTTTGGAACGTAAACACAGTTTGGGGAGTTGTTATCTATGACCCGTCGTTAAAATGCGACTTTAAACGTCTTGAAACACAAATAGTGATTCCTCGCCTGAAGGGAATGAATGCTGTTTAACACTGCAGTCCTCAATATTACAAGGCTGTCTGAACATACAGTAAACCACGTTTTTAAAGAACACGCTTATAACGAACTTATTTTTTAGTCCCGACCATTTGTTGTATAAATGCTGTATATATGCTTGTAACGAACTATGGTTATTACGAACTAAAATTAGTGGTCCCTTCGAGTTCGTTATAACAGTAGTTTACTGTTATCGCATCTTGACCAAGTAAATCAGTGGATTGTACTGTGAGCATTGACCCATGTCCCCGGGGCACGGGTAAGTCGCCATTTTAACCACCCGATCCTCCTTTAGGCTGCTAGTACTTTAACTTTAATTCTAAAGGTTTACTCAAAATGAGAATTTACTCCCAAGAAAAATATCTAACTTTGATGCAGGTTAATCTGTGCGTCAGTTTACAGTCGCACATCAAACATCAGTAGTAATAGTAAAACAATTACAGTGTTTTCAGAACAATAAGAAAACAAAACGTATTACCAACAACATAAGATTCTAATGCTACAGTTACCTCCCTTACATTTCTCAGTTGGCCCCCACCGTCCTTGAATATTTTTTTTTTTACACTGGCCTCGTTTCATATCTCTTGTCGCCCTTGACCTTTGAACTGACACACCTCCCCGAACACTCCCCTTGCCGACAGTGCATTGTGTACATACTGCATAGTGAGAAGAAATTGTAGAACGAGTGAGCGTTTCCAACATGTCGTCCAACATGTTGCTGTTCTGGGTTTCTGGGAGCATTCCTTGCTGGAAGGCCATGATAGCGCTGGAAGAAAAGGGACTGGCGGGCTACCCGAATAAGAAGATTTCCTTCAGCGAGAAGGAACACAAATCGCAGGAAATCTTGAAACTCAACCCTCGCGGACAGGTAGGTGGCTTAATGTCATGGGCCTCAAAAGTGCATCGTCATGGACTTCGTTTGGGGTCGCTTTTGGTCCAATAATTGTTAATTATAGCATAATAAAAACACTGAATATCGGAGTTCAAAGGCTGTGTACTTCCATACGTGTATTAATTGAGCTATTTAGGTCTGCCTAGACACATTAGAGTCTCTATGTACTTGCTTAAAATGCGACTAGACGTATGATAAAAATTGCTTTGTCATGAGTACTGTCATTTACAAAACATTTTGTTTCCTTTAAATCGAAATGTTATTTTTTAATCATAAGAAATATGTAATGGATAGAGAACATCGATTAGACATTATAAATATCAACGTAAAACGCAATACCCTTTCTTCCTTCTTCAACCCGAAGATTATAGACACTGCTAGCGGGTTGCATGGCAGCATCCGTTTAACCATATACTCCATAATTCAAGAGACTTTTTGCCGAAATAACTAAATCATGAATAAGATGTTAACTTTTCAAAAACATTTGGTATGTTCATATGAATGAAGCGAAGCAAATTGTGCCCTCTCAGTTCAACTACAAATATTGTAATTGTCGAAATCGATAAATTATGAATAATATGTTAACAATGGCTTTCTAAATATTTTTGTTATTTAATATGAATACACATGTTGTCTGAAACTCATCAAAAAGTGCTTTCCCGACTCAACCATACATCTTTTTTTTCCAGACTTTTCTTTGTCGAAATCGTTACATTGTAAATCAAAGGTTATTTTTTTAAATATTTGTTAACTTTTTTATATGTATAAGTTTATCTTTCTCCGGGAGACCATCATCTGCGCTGTAAAAGAGCATATATCGTAAATAATAAATCTCTATTGTCTACATTGAATTGGGGATGAAATCTGTTTCAGGTACCGACCTTCAAAGATGGCGACGTTGTTGTGAACGAGTCCAATGCCATCTGCTTCTATCTTGAGGTAAACTAGAAATACATCAAATTTTATTGTAAAAACAAAATTTGAACCTGATTACAAACCAGGTGTGTGTGTGGGGGGAGGGGGGCGGATAATATCATGTCAATTCTGTAACATCGTGATGGGGCGTTATGTTAGCAAGTTAGCAACCGACTACATCGTACACAAGACGTTCACGTTGTTGTGCACGGGCGGGTCATGATAGTTGCCTGCGTTGTGTGGTTAGTCACAGTTATTTATCAGCGCTTATCAAACCGGTCGGCTTGCAGTAGCTGCAAAACCGATAGACTAGTGGATGCATCCGTCAGCTCTCGCGTCATTCCAGAATGTTTTACAGATAACTGCGAGTGGTAATGAATTCGAAAGTTTGTGACGTCATTTTGTTTATTTTTCATTCATTCATTCAGTCATTCCGGGACAATATTTCCTGTAGGTTACGGAAAGATGTCGCGTAGTCCTCAGTTTGTTCTGAAAGTAACGTTATCCTGTTGAGACGCCACTGAATTAGATGAAATAAACAATGATGTTGACACCACCTCGAGGGAATTAGCTCTTGGTGGAAATGAAAGACATTCATCTGCATCCCCGTTCCGGAACATTTTGTGCACAATATATAAACAAGATAACAGCATCAATTTTTCACAGTTGCACAAAGTTAACACATCCAGGTATACAATATTACAGTTGATCATTTAACGGTAACGGATTAAGAGTGAGTGAGTATGGTTTTACGCCGCTTTTAGCAATATTCCAGTAATGTCACGGCGGGGGACACCAGAAATGAAATCAGACATTTTACCCTTGTCGGGAATCGAACCCGCGTCTTCGCTTTAACCACTAGGCCACCCGACCGCCCCTTACGGATTAAGATAATGTTAGATGGGGATTAAGCACTCAACAATGAGAATGGGCCTTGACTTGGGCTCTATTTTATACAAAGGGTTGGGTAACAATTGGCTGATAGTGACAAGGAAGCAGTCATATAACATATTAAACTGACACGGACCTAAATGGCAGTATACTTTACAAATCCATCAAACCCGACGGGTCAGCTCACAGTTTCAAAATATATGGATTTGTACTTTTTTTTCGCAGAGAAAATTTCCAGGCCAAGGTACGAAGCTGGTACCAACCGACATCTCTGAGTATGCCCGAGTCTTGCAGAGAGTTACCGAGGTGAGAGAAATCGGTCTACTTCGAAGTTCGAGATAGAAACAATGTAAACGTACACAACATCTCGAACCTGCTTGAAAACCCCTGCCTGTAAACGTTGTTTGTTATAACCAGAGATTACATTCTAGCTTGTATCCGTTTGCTAGAAAACCTGTTAATTGTGAGTGAGTGAGTATGGTTTTACGCCGCTTTTAGCAATATTCCAGCAATATCACGGCGGGGGGAAACCACAAATGGGCTTCACACATTGTACCCATGTGGGGAATCGAATCCGGGTCTTCGGCGTGACGAGCGAACGCTTTAACCACGAGACTACCCCACCGCCCCGGTTAATTGTGACTCAAGACTAGCTGATTGTAATTGTATACTACTGTACCAGATTATTGCTGCGACCTAGCAAACTGAGGCTGTATAATACCTGATTGTGACAAGAGTCCTGCCTTTGTATGCATACTATAGGTTACAAACGGCATATTAGGTTGTTGTGGCTGATTGCATTTGACACTGCACACGAGCTGATTGGGACTGCATACAGCTGACCTTGACACAGAAGGAATTGCGTAATTGTGAAGCGTTTTGCTATGGACATTACATGATGTCACAGAGATAAGATAGCAAAACATTGAGGTGACGTGAGGTGAAATGGGGTTTAACGTCGCGTCCAAGATTATTGAACATATATAGCGACGTGCATGCACGTGTGTGTGTGGCTGTACTAGTCCGGACAAAACCGATTTATAGTGCTAGCTCACTGAGATACCATGTCGCAGTTTAACATGAATACCCCATTCAGACACAGAATACTGACTTCGAGCCGACCAGTCCTTGCTTTAGCCCCTTTATGCCGAGCGCCAGACAGGGTAACAACAAGTACCATCTTTTAACGTATTTTGGTGTGACGCGGCCGGGGATCGAACCCCGGGCCTTCTGCTCTCCGGGCGGACGCTCCACTGCTAGACCACGAAAGCTGTTGCAAAACATTGCGTCAACTGAGCTAATTGTTTCGTTGTGACAAGTCAGTTGAAAATCATATATGATCCCACTTTCAGGGCAAGGCTCGGACGATAGCACCAATGCGTGTATGCGGACATGTATACATATTGGTAAACGCCCAATATATGTTCTACCACAGTGTCGTACATTTTACATAGATTGCATACATTTGCATACATTTTATATCTGCTTATTTTGATTTCTGCAGGTGGAAAATTTGACCAGTTGCATCATCCAAAACCTCGCTAAATATAGAATCAGGACTCCTAAAGACAAACTTGATGAGGTAAGTTAAGGGGATATAGCGTAGAACAGGTATATCCTGGTATCGCGCCGATTCTTATGTCGGAGGCACCTGTTGGGGGATTGGATTTTGGTTACAAATAGAAAGGAAACTCCGAACAGCTCCACATTGTTTGACAGGACGTCTAGAATGTCCAGGGAACGATTGTACTTATCTAAAACCTGGAGGAACATAATACTACAAATAATTTGAAAAAAAATCCAAGCTCCCCCTTTGAATGTGTGACCACCGTCGAGGAAGACTGCCATCCTTGAATGAGTGACTACCACCATCCGTGAAGACCGCCCCCCTTGAATGAGTGACCACCACCATTCGTGAGACCGCCCCCCTTGAATGAGTGACCACCACCATTCGTGAAGACCGCCCCCCTTCAATGAGTGACCACCACCATTCGTGAAGACCGCCCCCTTGAATGAGTGACCACCACCATTCGAGAAGACTGCCCCCCTTGAAAGAGTGACTACCACCATTCGTGGAGACCGCCCCCCTTCAATGAGTGACCACCACCATTCGAGAAGACCGCAACCCTTGAATGAGTGACCACCACCATTCGTGGAGACCGCCCCCCTTGAATGAGTGACCACCACCATTCGTGAGACCGCCCCCTTGAATGAGTGACCACCACCATTCGTGAGACCGCCCCCTTGAATGAGTGACCACCACCATTCGGGGAGACCGCCCCCATTGAATGAGTGACTACCATCATTCGTGAAGACCGCCCCCCTTCAATGAGTGACCACCACCATTCGTGAAGACCGCCCCCCTTGAATGAGTGACCACCACCATTCGTGAGACCGCCCTCCTTGAATGAGTGACTACCACCATTCGTGAGACCGCCCTCCTTGAATGAGTGACCACCACCATTCGTGAGATCGCCCCCTTGAATGAGTGACCACCACCATTCGGGGAGACCGCCCCCCTTGAATGAGTGACTACCATCATTCGTGAAGACCGCCCCCCTTCAATGAGTGACCACCACCATTCGTGAAGACCGCCCCCCTTGAATGAGTGACCACCACCATTCGTGAGACCGCCCCCCTTGAATGAGTAAACACCACCATTCGTGAAGACCGCCCCCCTTGAATGAGTGACTACCACCATTCGTGAAGACCGCCCCCTTGAATGAGTGACCACCACCATTCGTGAGACCTCCCCCCTTGAATGAGTGACCACCACCATTCGTGGAGACCGCCCCCCTTGAATGAGTGACCACCACCATTCGTGAAGACCGCCCCCCTTGTATGAGTGGCCACCACCATTCGTGAGACCGCCCCCCTTGAATGAGTGACCACCACCATTCGTGAAGACCGCTCCCCTTGTATGAGTGACCGCCACCATTCGTGAGACCGCCACCCTTGAATGAGTGACCACAACCATTCGTGAAGACCGCCCCCCTTGAATGAGTGACCACCACCATTCGTGAAGACCGCCCCCCTTGAATGAGTGACTACCACCATTCGTGAAACCGCCACCCTTGAATGAGTGACCACAACCATTCGTGAAGACCGCCCCCCTTGAGTGAGTGACCACCACATTTCGTGAAGACCGCCCCCCTTGTATGAGTGACCACCACCATTCGTGAAGACCGCCCCCCTTGTATGAGTGACCACCATTCGGGGAGACCGCCCCCCTTGTATGAGTGACCACCATTCGTGAAGACCGCCCCCCTTGAATGAGTGACCGCTATCACTGGTGAAGCCCATCACCTTGAATAAGTGGCAACTACCATCGCTGACGATTACCACCCTTGACGCCCGATGTTGTTGATGTTGTTTCTTGTATTTCAGGAGCTGTTGAAGACGAAGTACGAGGATGTTCGGACTGAGTTGAAGAGATGGGAGGACTACCTCGCGGCTGTATGTACCGTTACTTATCATGCGGACCACGCCAGGGGTTGTATTACTATACTCTGGATCCCTTACCCGTACCTGGTGTTTAATTTCCTTATACCTGGTTTTTTATTTCCCCTTACCTGGTGTTTGATTTCCCCATATCTGGTGTTTGATTTCCCCATATCTGGTGTTTGATTTCCCCTTACCTGGTGTTTGATTTCCCCTTACCTGGTGTTTGATTTCCCCATATCTGGTGTTTGATTTCCCCATACCTGGTGTTTGATTTCCCCTTACCTGGTGTTTGATTTCCCCTTACCTGGTGTTTGATTTCCTCATATCTGGTGTTTGATTTCCCCATACCTGGTGTTTGATTTCCCCATATCTGGTGTTTGATTTCCCCTTACCTGGTGTTTGATTTCCCCTTACCTGGTGTTTGATTTCCCCTTATCTGGTGTTTGATTTCCCCATATCTGGTGTTTGATTTCCCCATATCTGGTGTTTGATTTCCCTATACCTGGTGTTATATTTCCCAATACCTGTTGTTTGATTCTGCCATGTCTGCAGCTGGGTTTGATTCCACCATGCCTGCAGCTGGTGTTTGATTCCCCCATGTCTGCAGCTGGTGATTGATTCTGCCAAATCTGCAGCTGGTGTTTGATCCCCCCATGTCTGCAGCTGGTGACTGATTCCCCCATGTTCACACCTGGTGTTTGATTCCCCCATGTCTACACCTGGTGTTTGATTCTCCCATGTCTACACCTGGTGTTTGATTCTCCCATGTCTACACCTGGTGTTTGATTCCCCCATGTCTACACCTGGTGTTTGATTCTCCCATGTCTACACCTGGTGTTTGATTCTCCCATGTCTACACCTGGTGTTTGATTCTCCCATGTCTACACCTGGTGTTTGATTCCCCCATGTCTACACCTGGTGTTTGATTCCCCCATGTCTACACCTGGTGTTTGATTCCCCCATGTGTACACCTGGTGATTGATTCCTCCATGTCTGCAGCTGGTGTTTGACTCCCCTATGTCTGCAGCTGGTGATTGATTCCTCGATGTCTGCAGCTGGTGTTTGACTCCCCTATGTCTGCAGCTGGTGTTTGGTTCCCCCATGTCTACACCTGGTTTTTGATTCCCCCATGTCTACACCTCCATGTCTACACCTGGTGTTTGATTCTGCCAAATTTGCAGCTGGTGTTTGATTCCCCCATGTCTGCAGCTGGTGATTGATTCCCCCTGTCTGCAGCTGGTGTTTGATTCCCCATGTCTGCAGCTGGTGATTGATTCCCCCATGTCTGCAGCTGGTGTTTGATTCCCCCATGTCTGCAGCTGCTGTTTGATTCCCCCATGTCTACACCTGGTGTTTGATTCCCACATGTCTACACCTGGTGTTTGGTTCCTCCATGTCTTCAGCTGGTGTTTGATTCCCCCATGTCTACAGCTGGTGATTGATTCCCCGTATCTGCAGCTGGTGTTTGTTTCCCCGTATCTGCAGCTGGTGTTTGATTCTCCCATGTCTACAGCTGGTGTTTGATTCCCCCGTGTCTGCAGCTGGTGATTGATTCCCCCATATCTGCAGCTGGTGTTTGATTCCCCCGCGTCTGCAGCCGGTGATTGATTCCCCCATGTCTGCAGCTGGTGTTTGATTCCCCGTATCTGCAGTGGTGTTAGATTCCCCCATATCTACAGCCGGTGTTTGATTCCCCAGTGTCTGCAGCTGGTGTTTGATTCCCCCATGTCTGCAGCTGGTGTTTGATTCCCCCCATGTCTGCAGCTGCTGTTTGATTCCCCCATGTCTGCAGCTGCTGTTTGATTCGAAATACCCTATGTTTTATTCCCCATATCTGGTGTTTGATTCCCCACACCCAGTCTTTGATTTCCCATACCCAGTGTTTCATTCCCCCATACCCGGTGTTTGATTCTCATACCCAGAGTGTGATTCCCCACACCCAGTCTTTGATGCCCAATACCCAGTGTTTGATTCCCCCATGCCGGGTGTTTAATTCCCCATATCCATTGTTTCATTCCCCATACCCAGTGTTTCATTCCCCATACCGGGTGCTGAATTCCCTCATACCCAGTGTTTGATTCCCCATACCGGGTGCTTAATTCCCCCTCACCTATTGTTTGATTCCCGATACCCAGTGTTTGATACCCCTTACCTACTGTTTGATTCTCCATACCCAGTGTTTGATCCCCCATACCCAGTATTTGTTTCCCCACACCCGTTGTTAGATTTAAATTATGTAGGCTTTTCCTAAGGCCTTTTCTAATTACTTGACGCCAAACTTGTTATGTGTAAATACTCGAAGAAAACGGTGATTATTATTTGTGGTCATTATTAAATGTCTCACTTGCTACAGAGCGGAGGGTACGTGGTCGGCAGCAACTTCACAATGGCGGATGTCTTCTTCTTCCCGCATGTCGCCTTAGGGGTAAGATTCGGCCTTGACGTCTCGAAATATCCCGCCATTGGTGCCTACTACGACAAGGTCAAGGATAGGCCATCCGTGAAAGCAACATGGCCGCCACACTGGGCTGACGGACCCGGCGACTCTTCCATCATGGGACCCGTGTGAGGAGTTTTGGTCCAGAATGACGACAGAGGTGGCTGCTTTCCAGCATGTTATGCAACGCCATCTTCAGCTTTAGTTCTGCTTCAGTAACAATCATATTATCTGTATATCGCAGTTGATGGTTTACGTGATGTACCTATGTTTTGCGTTGGTACTTAATATTGCTTTAAACACAAATCTAAAACTAGTGTAATATACGACGGGTGAGGCAGTGGACCAAAGCGCAGAACTGCACATAGTTACCTCGGCTAGTCGTGACTTCACAACCAAAATTCGTCACGATTATAATCCTTGGCCCGTCAGTACTAAAGCCTTGCTTTTGGTAACTTCTACTACAACGCATTCAACCAACACGCCGCAATAAATACTGGGGGCACGGGTTGCCCAGTCGTCTAAGGCGCCGCGTTAAGCTGTGCAGAGTTGCGTCCCTTGGGCACGCCAGAAACCTATGATTGTGGGTTCGAATCCCGGTTCGCCCCGATTATGTTTCTAGGTTTGTCAGGACCATAACCTTGCTCGCGAGTTTCACCGAAGTGGTTAACGTCTGAGACCTTAAAAGCGGCGTTAAACCCAACTCACTCACTCACTCAATAAATACTATTCGAAGCTACTTAAAAACTATTCGAAGCGACTTAGATACTGTTCCAAGCGACTTAAATACTCTTCGAAGCGGCGTTATATGTTCCTGAAAACCACACCAAAGACGACATCCACGGCAGCAACGCATATTTTTATCAAAAACATTTATGAGACTATGATTATAATACTCACTTTTTTCATTATACTTACATGTATTTCAGATGTTTTGACAGAATGGTAGTGTCTATTTGTTTATGTTCAATGAATAGAGGGAAACGATGTTGTTTAAAAGACCGAGTTTGGGAAACGTTACGATTGTGCTGTGAGTTCTTGCGCTTTCATTGTTGTTTTAATAAAATAATAAATTCCATAAACTCTTTGATATTATGTTGCTGGATGGCTACGACTGTGACACTGCTCGTGAATTAGATACATTTGCAGTGTGTATGTTCTTATGATCTAGACCGTCCTCAGATGGATGACAAACTGTGTAAACTGTGTAAAATGCATCTCAGAAACCTTAGAAAATTGTATCCAATTAAACCTTTGAAATGATGATTACCGCCGCGATAGCTTCAATGAAGTTGTTGCCTTGTACATAATGTTGGTGACAGAAACTCGGGGTTTCGAAGGGAATCAATAGAGAAAGGACATTTCCTTTTTATTATCGGATTATTTCCACGTGGTCGCGGATTAGTTTATTAATCTGCAAGAGGTAGAACACTTTCATCTTTAAAATCCCTTGTGAGTAGGAAAATCAGAGAGATGTTCAATCGGTCACGTGGGCACCGGTATTTGTCCGATTGCGATACACATGAGTTCATGGTCAGATCTAACTTTTAACGAATAAAATTGAGGTATTATAACATGTGGCAAAGAAAGGTCAAAATTCGATAACCTTAAAGAGATTACCTTAGCACTGAGTGGAACGGGCTTTGTCAGCGACTGAAGTAAATCCCGTTTTCACAATCTGTGACGAGTGTTTTCACAATGCCTGTCTTGTTTAGAAGTTGTATTTAGGGGATGGACTTATTTGTTTGTTTGTTGTTTGTTTAACGCCTCACTCAGCAATATTCAAGGTATATGACGGCGGTCTGTAAGTAATCGTGTCTGGACCAGACAATCCAGTGATTGACAGTATGAGCATTGATCCATGCAATTGGGGTCGATAACATGCATCAACCAAGTCAGCGAGCCTGACCACCCGATCCCGTTAGTCGCTTCTTACAAGCATAGTCGCCTTTTACCGCAAGCATGGGTTGCTGAAGACCTATTCTACCCCGGATCTTCACGGGCGGAGGGTGGACTGAAGCGTTATTAAAGTAGTGTGATCACAACAAGGACATGCAAACCATTAGTCGGAAAACGCGTACGATTCGGAAAAACACACCTGGTGGATAAATAAAAGGGCCATGGAGCTGCACGTAATGCACGTGCAGCAGCACTATTAACGGTATTAAAATGTAGGGGTGTTGATTGCCTGGAATCTGCGTCAATCGAACAATGACAGTTCAACAACATGCCAAGATTTACAGAAGTGCAAAGAAACAACGTCATAGGCCGTTTGTAGGCAGGGGAATCCCGATCAGCTGTAGCCAGGGTTTTCAATGTAGCGCACAAGGCTATGGGATCGGTTTCAACAGCATGGGTCAACACGTGACCGGCCAAGGTCGGGACGACCAAGAGTAACCACCCTCGCCCAAGATCACTCCATCCGACTGCGCCACCTACGTGAAAGGACGACCACAGCCACCTCAACCGCATCCCAAATACCCGGACTGCGCAGAATCTCCGACCAGACCGTACGAAACCGCTTAAGAGCAACAGGTCTACGAGAAAGACGTCCTGTTCGACGCATCACATTGAGTGGACAACATCGTCAACAACGACTGCATTGGTGTCGTCAAGACAGGGTATGACCTCAACTGCGATGGAGAGATGTCTGGTTTAGCGACGAATCAAGATTTCTCCTCCGTCGAGGGGATGGAAGAGCACGGGTCTACAGACGTCGGGGAGACCGTTACGCCAGAAACTGCGTACAGGAAGTGGACACGTTTGGTAGGGGTGGGTTATGATGTGGGAGGCTTTCTCTCATCATGGCAGTATAGGTTTGGTCCATGTCAGGGCAGTCTTACGGCTCAACGATACATCAACGAAATTCCCCTACCACACGTCCTCCCAATTGCAGCCAACGGCAACGGTGTATTCCAGCAGGACAACGCCAGACCGCATACAGCACGGACCACAACAGCCTGTCTGCACAACAACAACGTTGATGTTCTCCCCTGGCCCTGCAGATCCCCGGAGTTGAACCCGATAGAGCTGTGGGATGAATTGGATGGACGGCTACGCCGACGTCAACCACAACCCCGGACGTTGCAGCAGTTGGCTTTTGCGTTGCAGGCCGAGTGGGCTACCATTTCCCCAGGATGTGATTCGGACACCCGTCTCTTCCATGGGTAGGAGATGTCAGGCCGCTATCGATTCCAACACGGGACATGCGCGTTATTGATGGTAGATGACCTTCACCTTGGACTTTACCTGTGTACCGATAACTGAGATGACGACAATCACAAAGTGTTCTCTCCACACAATTTTGGCTCAATACCTTGTACGGTTCCTCGTAAAAATGTATTTTCCTACCTCACACAAATCTGTCTTTGTGTTTCTTTGAAGAGTATATTTTGTCGTATTTTTGTTAATTTTCGATGAATTACCGTTTAGAAAATACAGTATGTTTGGATCAGATGAATAATAAAGTCAAAGTGTTGATATATTTCCAGGCAAATACTTTTCCAAGAATGAACGGCCACAGTCTTCCAGCCATGACTTGATAACCTTTGGACTTTGCACGAATTCCAGTATGATATAAAATAGTAATTGTTTGATAGGCATCCCTTAGAAGTTGACGAAGTAGAAGTAGACAACGATATAAGGATCTATACCGAAACGTCGCCTTTACAGTAATTAAAGAACTTGTTATCCATAAATTGTGTCCACTTTGATATAAAATATCATCACTCGTATAGACATATGGTGTTAGAAATATCTACATATGTAATATATTTGAAATTAAAATGATATATTGTCAGCTTTATCTTTGTATTGATACCCTTGACACAAGTCAAATACCCATAAACAAAAGCTAGTAGCTTTGGTTACTGTTTATATCAGTGTGGCTGTAATACTGTTGAATTCTGCCTGAATCTCTCTGGAAACAGACAGTGCATGTGCTGGACATGAGAATCTAGTCTCTGCTAGCAGATGATTATTTGCTTAGATAAGGCAGCCACCTTGTAACTAAGCATTGTGAAAGGGTATCAGATGATCACATCTGCACCATTACACAATACAGACTTTCCCTCATTTATAGCAAAACTCTGAAAAGCAAGGATAAATATCATGACTGTAAATCTTTTACATATTAATTTACATAAATTAAAGATACGTAAAAGGGAAATATATGTGTATATGGAGGTAGCTTTTCTAAAAGTAGTAAAATAATAACATACAGTTTAATCTACTCATTTTACAGAACGTAAGTACTGGTATTGTTCTTTCGAGGATATGTTCATATTTTCAAGGAAATTCAAACTAGGAAGTTATTCAGAAAACGTACAACTATATGGATAACAACTTCTGGTTTATTGCAATATAGATTCTTAACGTTATCAAGCTGGAATATTTGTAATTAAACACACCACGCACGCACGCGCGCATACGTACTCACATAGTATTCCTGCATTTTGAATATTTTCAAAGAAATTGAATCTTAATTACTGTTGCTAGCCCACTGCATCTGTTGTTACGTGTCGATTCCCAAACTGAAACAGTTTGTGAACCCAGAAATGTAAAACGAACCTAGTGTGAAACCGACAAGCAACCAACAAATGGAATACAAATGTTAAATGTGTTAAACTGATTCCCATATTTGCATGATATCAAACTGCTGTAATTTAAATAATAAAAACAAAACACACAAATGTATAACCAAAATACCTTGGTTAACAAATCAATAAATATCATATCAAATATACAAATACAGTGGTGATAGCCAAAATCAGTGATAATAGAATATTCACTTAGTGGCGACAGTGGTTGAGCTTCCGAGAAAGGCCTAGGCAGGGAATCAGGAATGATTAGTGACCTTCACACGAAAGCTGGTCTTGATATAATGAAATATGTGAGAGAGATACGATAGGAACGCTCTTGTCCCCTACAGTCTAACTAGCTTCTGGAAATTTCCACACAGTGGCCTCACAACATAGAATATTCCACATGTTTCTGATCTCACTCTATCTCAATGCGCTGTATTCCGGAAGTTTACACATGACACTAGCATCTAAATATATTAACTTCCTCAAAACTGCTTAAATTAACAAGTACTTAATTCCTGGCAACCAATCACGGTCCAAATACAATGCAATGAGCTTCTACCGAATCTCAACAGAAACAATGTGATACAGTTACAATCATTGTTTAACAATAAAATACACTGCCATATAACTATATGTTTTAAGAATAATTTCAGTTTCCTGACTATGTAAGAGTATTCAGAAAGAAATAATAATCTCTTACATAAACATTATTTTTATTGGTATTCCAGGAGATGTATACCTTTGTGTTACACTTGAAATTGGTGATTCCAGGGTTACATTTCTCACAGGGATATCTATCTATCTATCTATCTATCTATCTATCTATCTATCTATCTATCTATCTATCTATCTATCACAGAGATAAATGGCATATTCCAAGGAGTAATGCAATCAGTATATACTGCTGGCGATTTCAGTTAATTAAATGTGAAAATAATAAAAAAGCCAGTTCACATATACTCCAGTATGCCATGGAAGCGTACATTGCTGGAAGGCCATGTTGGTGCTGGCAGAAATGGGACTACCGAATAAGAAGTTTTTCTTCAGCGAGAACGATGGCGGGGAATCCCGAAGTGCTGCAGGTCTTACACGTTACTACTTTGATGAAACCCATGAGCACGTGTGTTGATGTCTTGACCCTAGGACCATATCGCGGCTCTCGGCTATTGTCGCCCTAGACCTATGACCTATGAACTGACACACCTCCCAGAACACTCCCCATGACTATACAGTACTTCAGGTCCAAACCACACTCTTGAGGAGAAACTGTATAACGACTGAGCGTTTCCAACATGTCGTCCAACATGTTTCTGTACTGGGGTTCTGGGAGCATTCCTTGCTGGAAGGCCATGATAGCGCTGGAAGAAAAGGGACTGGCTGGCTACCCGAATAAGAAGATTTCCTTCAGCGAGAAGGAACACAAATCTGAGGAAATCTTGAAACTCAACCCTCGCGGACAGGTAGGTGTTTAATGTCATGGGCCTCAAAAGTGCATCGTCGTCGACTTCGTTTGGAGTCGCTTTGGGTCCAATAATTGTTAATTATAGCATAATAATAACACTAAATATCGGAATTGAAGAGCTGTGTACTTAAATACATATTTTTATTGAGCTATTTAGGTCAGCCTTGACACCGTAGAGTCACTATATATGTACATGCTTTAGATGCAACTATACCTATAAAAGGAATTTGCAACGGGAATCTTATAAACAATCATAAGAAATATGTAATGGATAGAGAACATCGATTAGACATTATAAATATTAATTTGAAACGCAATACCCTTTCTTCCATCTTCAACCCGAAGATAACAGACACTGCTAGCGGGTTGCATGGCGGCATCCGTTTAACCACATACTCCATTAATCAAGAGACATTTTGTCGAAATAGCTTAATCATGAATAAGACGTTACTTTTTCTAAATATTTTGGTACGTTGAAGCGTACTCGTCTGAAGCGAAGCAAATTGTGCTCTCACAATTCAACCACAGATGTCAATTATTCAAGATGGAAATGTTTATATGAATACATATGTCGTCTGAAGCTTAGCAAAATGTGCTTTCTCAATCCAACACACATCTCTATTGTTCATACTTTCTTTTGCCGAAATCGTTACATTATACATAATAAGTTAGTTTTGTAAATGTTTGTTAAAATATGTCTTTTACACAAATATATCTATCTCCAGAATCCCATCATCTGCGCCCAAAATGTGGATATTTCATATATAATAAGTCTCTAGTGCATCAATTAAATTGATTCAATTTGTTTCAGGTGCCGACCTTCAAAGATGGTGACGTTGTTGTGAACGAGTCCAACGCCATCTGCTTCTATCTTGAGGTAAACCAGAAACACATCAATGTTTTGTGAAAACAAAATTTGAACCTGTTTATATTTATCAGGATAGGGGCAGCACAGGGTGGAGTGTGTGTGGGGTTGGGGTTGGGGTTTGGGGGGCAGGCAATAGTATCATGTGAGTACTGTAACATTGTTAAGGGCGTTATGTTTACAACCGACTACATCACATACAATAGTTCACGTTGTTGAGGGCGGGTCATGCCAGATAGCTGTGTTGTGTGGTAGCTGAGTTAGTCACAGTTCTTTATCAGCCCTTATCAAACCTGCTGGAATTTTCATTTCTGGCGTCATTTTCATTCGTGACTGACTTTTATCATTCCGGGACAATTCTTCTTGTGGGGTACGGGGGGATGCTTTTAGTTACAAGTCGCGTAGTCCTCAATATGTCCTGAAAGTAACGTTTTCTTGTAGAGACTCCACTGAAATAGACGAAATAAACAATGATGTTGACGCCACCTCGAGGGAATTAGCTCTTGGTGGAAATGAAAGACAATCATCTGCATCACCGTTCCTTTATGCTCAAATTATGAACAAAATTAACATCAACAACATTATATTTTGTACAGCCCTTGTTGATGGGTTGAAATAACTCAAAGGGGTACAGGTTGAAATAACGTGACAGAACGCACACCGGGACAGTGTGGCCAATGTTCCCGGATGCGGTGACCTGCCGTACGATGTGTCCGCTTCTGTCGATGATCTGGGCCCGTCTCTCTGATTGACCATGTTAGTTAGGTTTTGTAGATACATTTAGTTGTAAAATATAACGGGGGGCAAGGTCGGTGACGCACGTACATGTACATACTAGTCCAGGCAATCTACGCCATTTTATTGCTCAAATCGCAGAGAGTTTACTTCACAGCAATGCTTTGCTACACGGTCCTAACAACAAGATTCTAGTCCCAAGCAATCCCAGTTTGGTAAATATGTCTAATTTACATAATGCAATATGGCCATCAATTATCAATATATCTTCCACATTTGAGATGACGTCCAGTATATGGTACTGCGAAATAGCCATATCATGTTTCTAAAAAGATATTCACAAGTACAGAACGTTTTCGACTATTGACAAATCAAGAAAAATTCAAGATGGCCGCCAATTTCAAGATGGCCGACATGTTTCATAAACATGTGTTTAGGATGTTGAAACTTTTAACTCTAAAACAGTATGCTAGGATTCATATTGATTTAAACTTATTTAAATCACAAAAAGTGAATGGGGTTGGGTACAAGTTCTCCAACGTAGGGCACCTTCTCCCAGATATTTACACAACTGATTTACAATTTGTAATAAACATGCACGGAACAGAAGGAAAGAAATGAATAGGAAAGATAAGGTAACAGTAAGAAAAATATAGTTTACATAAATCTCTTTGTATTACGTTTATAACTTTTTTATACATTTTTATGTCATCTTGTTCTGGTAAATCCCAATTTCCATTGAATATCAAATTGAGATCAGTTAGTGTATTTTCGGCTACACTAATGTTTCATAGTAGAATGCCACTTTCTTCAATAAACGAGTCACATTCAAAGAAAACATGATATACATTTTCACTTTTACTACCACATAAACATTCTGCTGTATCTTTTATACTAGTCTCATAATTTATTTGACTAGCCTCATGCCTTAGCTTACTATGTATAATATTATGATTTCTCTGTCCAAAAGAGAAGTACGAAGGGGCCTTGGGCTCACTTTGACTTATAAGTATCTTCAAATGTTGAGTTCAACCACAAGTTATTTCATTTAATGGTATATCATTCCACAGCTTGATAGTAGATGGTTGAAGAGAATAATGTGGAGGTTTTAATCTCGTGATGGGAATTTGGAATTAGGATTCATATGCATATAGCTTGGCACACTTACTCACTGTAGAATACTTTACACTTTTTGATAAGAAACTCCGTCACCAGAGCCCCCTGGTGGCCCAAAAATCCAAAGATAAGAGATTGATGGATCAAGTACTCTACATGCGTCCTTGGGTCTGTTTACCACAATGTAGCAGTTCAAATCACTCATATATGTCATCAGAGACCAACGGTGTATTGACATTCCATGTATGTCCATCAATCTCTTATCTTTGGATTTTTGGGCCACCAGGGGGCTCTGGTGACGGAGTTTCTTATCAAAAAGTGAAAAGTATTCTACAGTGAGTAAGTGTGCCAAGCTATATGCATATGAATCCTAATTCCAAATTCCCCTCACGAGATTAAAACCTCCACATTATTCTTTTTACCCATCTACTATCAAGCTGTGGAATGATATACCATTAAATGAAATAACTTGTGGTTGAACTCAACATTTGAAGATACTTATAAGTCAAAGTGAGCCCAAGGCCCCTTCGTACTTCTCTTTTGGACAGAGAAATCATAATATTATACATAGTAAGCTAAGGCATAAGGCTAGTCAAATAAATTATGAGACTAGAATAAAAGATACAGCAGAATGTTTATGTGGTAGTCCAATGACCATCAAATATTAATATTTATGTCTAAAATGTTTTGTTAGTTTAAATATCAATGCTGTTTGTTATTGTCTGTATCTAGTTATTACCATGACAATAAAACTATAACAAGTTTTGTTTTCATTCATATACATACTTCTTGGAAAGAAGTATGACCGGATTATGTCCTCCCAGAATTAAGCCCAACCAGTTGTTTCACAAGTAGTCTTTGAGTTATCTCCCATGTAGTTCATTTATGGAAATGCTAAATAGCCACCAAATACCAATATTTGATTAAATCGGAAAAAGTCTGATCCAATGTTTGATTATATGATTGTGTGATTCATGAACAATATTACGTGAAGAACTGTGAAAAAGTTGTATCGGTGAACGCTGTAGGTAGTCGTGGCAGGGTTCATCTTCCCGAGGCAAGGCTCGTAAATCCAGTTTTCTCCCTTGCCAAACTACGCTGGAATTTCTGGGCTTGATCGAAGCGCCACCAGTGGCTATTACAAGTTATGTCCCTTCTATATCTCTCCTCTTGACCAATCAGATTCCACCTCTCATATCAATTGCATTTGCTTTAAACAAAATGGTGGCGCCCAGTCAGGACGATCTGGTCGATAATCAAGATCTTTTTTGTAATACTAAGGTTCTTACTTCGCAATGTGCATCAAATTACGTGAGCACCTTGATTAAAAACGTGAAAAGGTTTGGAAAATATCCGTTGACGCCAAAATGGGGGTACACATGTTTTGCAAATCCTGTAATCGACCGAAACCTGCACGGCAGTTTACGTACCGGATGTTGATTTCGTTACGCAATTTTGATTGGACTATGCAAAGACTCGTAAGTCCAGTCGATACGTACTCCATAAGTCCAGCCTAGTTCGACAGGGCTGGAAACTGGATTTATAAAGTCAGTAAACTCTCTTGCCTCGGGAAGATGCGAAGAAGGTAGTATTCTTGAACAACGCAAACAAATCAGCTCTTTATTGCTCATCTGGGTGACAAACTGAATTAGACCTGGGTGCAGATCTGTACATGCGAAACAGGTGAACATTAACTTGTGTCTTTATATGGCGGGCCGCCTCCGTGGTCATGTGGTAGAGCGTCCGCCCGGAGAGCGGAAGGTCCGGGGTTCGATCCCCGGTCGCGTCATACCAAAAGACGTTAAAAGATGGTACTTGTTGTTACCCTGTCTGGCGCTCGACATTAAGGGGCTATAACAAGGACTGGCTCGGAGTCAGTATACTGTGTCTGAGTGGGGTATTCATGTTAAACTGCGGCATGGTATGTCAGTGAGCTAGCACTATAAATCGGCATCAGTCCGAACTAGTACAAGCAGCCACACACACACACGTACATGCACGTCGCTATATAAGTGCAATAATCTTGGACGCGACGTTAAACCCAATTTCACCTCACCTCACCTTTATATGGCGGATGTAAGGAGATGGAGGGATAGCTTAAGGTACAAGGGATTTTGTGACGAAGAACCTATCACATGTAGAAGCACACACACTGCCACCATCCTCTGCAGCCACAAGATACCACAGCCCCCATGTCTACTACCAGATAATGGCCTGGGAATCGTTCAATATGAATCCATTGGAGTGAGGATGGCAGATGACAGATGGACGGTGCTTACCAATACAGACAGATCAGCCCGCAGCACCTTCAGCACTTATGGACATCATCTGCTGTCATTGCAGAAGAGATTGTAAGACAAGAAAGGGCACTTGCCAGACATGTGGTTTCATTTAAGTGTTATGTGCGGGGAATGCCATGGAACAAGCTGATGATGACAAAGCTGTTGAGGCTTTCGAGGTGTAATGATCATGCAACGTCTAGCTTCAACATTCACCCTGACAATTTTCCACTATTCTTCACATAATAATGATCATGCAACGTCTAACGTCGACATTCACCCTGACTACCTTCCACTATCTTCACATAATGATCATGCAACGTCTAGCTTCAACATTCACCCTGACAACTTTCCACTATTCTTCACATAATAATGATCATGCAACGTCTAACGTCGACATTCACCCTGACAACCTTCCACTATTCTTCACATAATAATGATCATGCAACGTCTAGCTTCGACATTCACCCTGACAACCTTCCACTATTCTTCACATAATAATGATCATGCAACGTCTAGCTTCGACATTCACCCTGACAACCTTCCACTATTCTTCACATAATAATGATCATGCAACGTCTTGCTTCGACATTCACCCTGACAACCTTCCACTATTCTTCACATAATAATGATCATGCAACGTCTAGCTTCGACATTCACCCTGACAACCTTCCACTATTCTTCACATAATAATGATCATGAATCACCCAATCATGTAAACGAATGAGCTGTGGGTCAAATCTTTTTCAGATTTATTTTCAAATATTGGTATTTGGTGGTTATAATGGATTTCCGCAAATGAACCACAAGGGACATAACTCACCAACTACTTGTAAACAAAACTGTTGGGGTTTTTTTTGGAAAATTCTGAGAGGACCTAATGTGGACATACTTTTTTCCATTAAGTATTTACATGAATGAAAACCAAACTTGTTACAGTTTTTAAAATAACTAGATACTGACAATAACAAACAACAATGATATTTAAACTCACCAAAACATGTCATTTTAGACATAAATATTAATATTTTGTGGCCATATTGGACTTATGCAAATGATCAAGTACTCTACATGCGTCCTTGGGTCTGTTTGCCACAATGTAGCAGTTTAAATCACTCATAGTGTATTCCAACAGTGATATTCTATGTCTATCCATCAATCTTTTGGCGTCCATCTTGGAAGTTTTGGTCCACCAGAGGGATCTGGTGACTGAGTTTCGAATTTAAAAGTGTTAACTATACGACAGTGAGTTAGTGTGCCAAGTTATTATTATGCATATCAGCAATACACACTCTTTTAAGAGTTAAAAGATTCCACAGTTTATTCTCACAGTTAGGAAACTTGTCGGCCATCTTGAAATTGGCGTCCAAATTGATTTGTCAATCGTTCAGTAGTTGTGAATATCTTTTTAGAAACATAATATGGTTCTTTCGCAATACAACACATGCTTTTTTCATCAATATATGGGACCTAATCTCAAATATGGAAGATTTATTGATTTTTGATGGCCATATTGCATTACGCAAATACGTTACTTGCTTGAGATACGCCGAACGTTTCCTGTACATTAAACAGACAAAGGGGATAGCATTTCGGTCAGTCATTTTACCCGTGTCGGGAATCGAACCCGGGTCTTCGCTTTAACCACTAGGCCACCCGACCGCCCCTTGCGGATTAAGATAATGTTAGATGGGGATTAAGCACTCAACAATGAGAATGGGCCTTGACTTGGGCTCTATTTTATACAAAGGGTTGGGTACAATTGGCTGGCATTGACAAGGAAGCAGTCATATAACATTTTAAACTGACACGGACCTAAATTACAGTATACTTTACAAATACATCAAACCCGACGGGTCAGCTCACAGTTTCAAAATATAATGATGTTTACTTTTTTTGCAGAGAAAATTTCCAGGCCAAGGTACAAAGCTGGTACCAACCGACATCTCTGAGTATGCCCGAGTCTTGCAGAGAGTTGCCGAGGTGAGAGAAATCGGTCTACTTCGAAGTTCGAGATAGAAACAATGTAAACGTACACAGCATCTCGAACCTACTTGAAAACCCCTGTCTGTAAACGTTGTGTCTATTGTAATCAGAGACTGCATTCTAGCTTATTGTCCATTTGAGAGAAAAGAAAACATGTTAATTGTGACTCAAGACTAGGTGATTGTGACTATATACTTGTATATCAGATTATGACTGCGACAAAACACACTGAGGCTGTATAATACCTGATTGTGACAAGAGTCCTGCCTTTGTATTCATACTATAGGTTACAAACGGAATGTTAGGTTGTTGTGGCTGATTGCATTTGACACTGCACACGAGCTGATTACGACTGCATACAGCTGACCTTGACACAGAAGGAATTGCGTAATAGTGAAATGGTTTGCTGTGGAAATTACATATGTCACAAAGGTATATCCACAAAATATGGGTCAACTGAGCATATTGTTTCGCTGTGATTAGTCAGTTAAAGAAGGGTCTGTGACCTTTGGAAAATGGACACTCTCATATATGATCCCACTTTCAGGGTGAGGCTCGGACAATAGCACTAATACATTTATGCGGACGTATATCGTATTGAACACGCTCAATATGTGTTCTCTCAAAGTGTCGTACACGTTAGCTTTATTTGTTTCTTCTGATTCTGCAGGTGGATACCTTGAACAGTTGCGTCGTCATAAACCTCGTTCAATATAGTTCCAGGACTCCCAAAGACAAGCTGGATGAGGTGCGTTAAGCGGTTATAGTGTAGAACGGCTATATCTTGGGATCGTGCCGATTATAATTCGGGGGGCACCTGGGGTTGGGGTGGGATTTTGGTTACAAATAGAGAGAAGAATCCGAACAGTTTCACGTTTCTATTTTCGGAACGTCTAGAATGTCCAGTGAACAATCTCTCGTGTTTAAAACCTTGAGCAAAATATAAGAAAATTATTTGAAAGCAAAAATCCAAGCTCCCGATCATCGGGTAAAGATTACATGCATGTCAGTCGCTGCATGACTGTTTATGGGAGATTTCGCCCCTGGATTGTTGCTCACATCATCACCCACCAGTTTATCTTCCACGACACATGTTTACATTGTATGATATGCCCCTCTATCCCTGGCGCGATGTTGTAGATGTTGTTTCTTGTATTCCAGGAGCTGTTGAAGACGAAGTACGAGGATGTTCGGACTGAGTTGAAGAGATGGGAGGACTACCTCGCGGCTGTATGTACCGTTACTTATCATGCGGACCACGCCAGGGGTTGTACTACTATACTCTGGATCCCTTACCCGTACCTGGTGTTTAATTTCCTTATACCTGTTTTTTTATTTCCCCATACCTGGTGTTTAATTTCCTTATACCTGGTTTTTTATTTCCCCATACCTGGTGTTTGATTTCCCCATATCTGGTGTTTGATTTCCCCATATCTTGTGTTTGATTTCCCCATACCTGGTGTTTGATTTCCCCTTACCTGGTGTTTGATTTCCCCATACCTGGTGTTTGATTTCCCCATACCTAATGTTTGATTTCCCGATACCTGGTGTTTGATTTCCCCATACCTGGTGTTTGATTTCCCCATATCTGGTGTTTGATTTCTCCATACCTGGTGTTTGGTTCCCCATATCTGGTGTTTGATTTCTCCATACCTGGTCTTTTATTTCCCCATACCTGGTTTTTGATTTCCCCATACCTGGTGTTTGACTTTCCCATACCTGGTGTTTGATTTCCCTATACCTTGTGTTTGATTTCCCCATACCCGGCCTTTGCTCCCCCATTCCCAGTGTTTGATTCCCCATAACGGGTGTTTGATCCCCCATACCCAGTGTTTGATTCCCATACACAGCCTTTGATTCCCAATACTCGATGTTTAATTCCCCTACCCCGTCTTTGATTCTCCAAATTCAGTGTTTGATTCCCAATACCTGGTGTTTGATTCCTAATACCCGGTGTTTAATTCCCTTACCCGGTGTTTTATTCCGCATAAAGGGTGTTTGATTCTGCATACTCGGCGTTAGATTCCCCATACCCAGTTTTTAAGTCCCAATACCCGGGGTTTGATTCCTTATACCCGGTGTTTGAGTCCCCAATTCCAGTGTTTGATTCCCCATTTCCAGTGTTTGATTCCCCATACCCGTTGTTTAATTCCCCATTTCCAGTGTTTGATTCCCCAATACCCGGTGTTTAATTCCCAAATTCCAGTGTTTGATTCCCCAATTCCAGTGTTTGATTCCCCATACCCGTTGTTTAATTCCCCATTTCCAGTGTTTGATTCCCCACACCCGTTGTTTGATTCTGCATACGCCATAAATTTATATATAAGTACGCTATTCCGATGGCTTTTCTAATTACTTGACGCCATGTTACAACCGTATCAGAATAGCTTGTTATGTGTAAATACTAGAAGAAAACGGGGATTATTATTTGTGGTCACTATTATATGTCTCACTTGCTATAGAGCGGAGGGTACGTGGCCGGCAGCAACTTCACAATGGCGGATGTCTTCTTCTTCCCGTATGTCGCCTTCGGGGTGAGACTCGGCATTGACATCTCGAAATATCACGCCATTAGTGCCTACTACGACAAGGTCAAGGACAGGCCATCAGTGAAAGCAACATGGCCGCCACACTGGGCTGACGGACCCGGCGACTCTTCCATCATGGGACCCGTGTGAGGAGCGGTGGTCCAGAATGACGACAGAGGTCGCTGCCTTCCAGCATATTCTACAACGCCTATATTTCTTCAGCTTTAGTTACGCTTCAGTAACAATCATATTATATGTATATCGCACTTAATGGTTTACGTGATGTTCCTATGGTTTGTGTTGGTACTTAATATTGCTTTTAACGCTAATCTAGAATTATTGTAACACACGAACATTTAGTGATAAACATGGTACACGGGTGGTCCAGCAGACTAAGGCTGCATAGGGGTTACGCCCGCTAATCGTGGGTTCATCCCACGAAGAAAACAGTTGGTTTTTCTGAGCGGGAGAATCAATCTCCTATACCCCGCCACGAAGAAAAAACGCGCGTCAATGAAAGTCAAGTGACACAGCACAAGTTACTCGAACAGCGGTTTTCTATCAGTTTCAATTAGTAATTCTTTTAAAATGGCAGATTGAAACATGTCGGTAAGATACATTTGTTGCAGCAGTATCACTCGGGGTATATGCGGTTTTATGCGTCCCTCGACTGCTACACGTCTAGTTTACTACAATACACGCCGCTATAGATACTGTTCCAAGCGAATTACTGTTCCAAGCAGCGTTACATGTTTATCCAAACTCACGCTCACACACTCACTCCAAACCAAAGACGACATCCGTGGCAGAAACGCATTTATTTATCAAAAACATTCATAAGACTATGATTATAATAACCACTTTTTTCATTATAATCATAGTCTTATGAATGTTTTGACAGAATAGTTGTGTCTATTTTTTTATGTTCAATGAATAGAGGGAAATGTTTAATGATGTTTAAAAGACCGTGTTTGGGAAACGTTACGATTGTGCTGTGAGATAGTGTGCGTTCATTGTTGTTTTAATAAAATAATAAATTCCAAACCCGCTTTGGTATTATGCTGTTGGCTTGCTGCCGCTGTGACATTGCTTGTGAACTTGATACGTTAGCAATGTGTATTTTCCAATGATTGTGATCGTCCTCCAATGGAGAATGAGCTTTTTTGGGTATAATGGTAATTAAATATGCAAATTAAGAATGAAAGAGTGAATAGTGTAAGGTCAGTATCAGCAATACTCAAGCTCTAGCACGACCACCTGTAAATATTCTCTATTAAATTCGATTCTAGACCAGGCAAACCAGTGATTGATAACATGAGAATCCGCACATGCCAACCGGGTACTAATGATACGTAACACTTCTCGAAATAGGAGGGGCCGCGGGTGGCCCAGTCGTCTAAGGCGCCACGATTCGTTGTGCAGAGTTGCGTCCCTTTGGAACGCCAAACCTATGATTGTGGGTTCGAATCCCGGTTCGCCCCGATTATGTTTCACGGATTGTCAGCATCATACCCGTGCTCGTGGGTTTCACCGAAGTGGTAAACGTCTGAGACCTGCATCACTTCGGGCTTTCATCCCATATTAAGCTGATACGCCGTGATATAACTGGAATACTGTTAAAAGCGGCGTTAAACCCAACTCACTCACTCAAAACAGGAAAGGTTTGTCTTTTTATCATCGAAATTTAATAACAGTGTGTATACAACAATTAGAAAACAAAACTTAATATATATCCACATGTCAAAATATGAGTTTCAAAGGCAGTATCAACATTCAAAGATGGACTGCGAGCGTACAGCTCATGGCTGCTGTTGCGTGTAACTCTACAGTTACCTCCCTTTGACTGTACTTTTAAGTTGACAATGCGACATTTCATCCATTCACCTGACATCGTGACACTGGCCTTGTCTGACATAGCTTGTCGTCCTTGACCTTTCAACAGACACACTTCCGTGAACACTCGCGCATAGACCACACTGCTTCAACGGGTCCACATTACTCTGATCAAGGGGCGAACTGTAGGGCGAAACTATATAAGCACTGAGCGTTTCCAACATGTCGTCCAACATGTTTCTGTACTGGGGTTCTGGGAGCATTCCTTGTTGGAAGCCCATGTTGGTTCTGGAAGAAAAGGGACTGGCGGGCTACCCGAATAAGAAGATTTCCTTCAGCGACAAGGAACACAAATCGGAGGAAGTCTTGAAACTCAACCCTCGCGGACAGGTAGGTGTTTAATGTCATGGGCCTCAAAACTGCGTCATCACCGGCACAGTAATTGCGCTGAACATCGAAAAGAGGTCATATTGAAACACCGAAGTTCAAGGACTCATGGGAGTAAAAGATGCGTTGTCACCGGTTTCTGCCGAGTCATTTTGGAGAGACCATAAAAAATATAGTCTGTTTAATTTCATGGTTTTGGTTTCACAATTGTAGAATTTCAGTGAATCATGTTTAAACAATAGCACTAAACACCGAAAAGATCGTTTTGAGGCATTCAAATTTCAAGGACCGGGTACTTGTGTACTTATTGACAAAGTCAAGTCAAGTCAAATTTTAGTGTCACTACGTGCAGACTCCATATTCGTATGAAAGAAATTAAAGATTGTTTTGTCATGAATAAATTGTTATTATCAATCAGAATGCATTATTTCCTTGCATTATTTCCTTTGATTATATATTTCGTCTGAAGCTAATAAAATTGTGCTTTCACGGTACATTATACAAGACAAATTTCCCATGGACAAAATCACTAAATTATGAATAAGAATGTTAATATTGACTTTTTCATTAGGTTTTGGTTTGTTTTTTTAGTTTAACGCCGTTTAGCGCCACGGTCACAAATATTCCAGCTATGTGACGGCGCTCTGTAGATAATCGAGTGTGGACCTGACAATCCAGTGATTGACATATCGATCATGAACATCGATTTGTTTATAAATATTAAGAGAGCAAAAACTTAGCCTTCTCGGGTCAACCACACACTTACATTATTCAAGTCAGGTTTTAAAATATTGTCATGCTAATATAAATAAATATTCTGAAGCCGAGCAAAATGTGCTGTCATTGCACCAGATTAAAGTGATAACGAGGAAGTAAATGAGCGTATTGTGATGATGTTTATCTCATTTGTTTACACTTGGATATGAAATTTGTTTTAGGTACCGACCTTCAAAGATGGCGAGATTGTTGTGAACGAGTCCGGCGCCATCTGCTTTTACCTTGAGGTAAAGTAGAACTTGTAACTTGATAACAGCAGAAATGTAATCATTGTGACGAGCCGGACACATGTATCAATTGTCTTTGGTACGCAGATTCAACATTTAGATTTTAGATTTTTGAATCTTGTATATATTTTATTTTAGTATTAAGGTGTCAGGGGTGAGCGAATGAGAGTAAAACATTAAATGGTATTCGGGATTCAGGGGAGGGGTGTTTCGCACCCTCATTTATCATACGTTGATATGGTACTTGTTACACATGCCATTTATCGCATAATGTACACCCAGTGTGTGTGGCAACAATGACGTCGCGCCTAAATATTGACCCGTGAAATATTGGGTCAGTAGTATCATGTGTGTATTGTAACATCGTGCAGGGGCTGTCTGTTAACGACCGAGTACATTCCATACACCATGTTCACGTTGTTAAGGGCGGGGCATGTCTGACAGGTATATCTGGCAGTGGTATGTGGTTGTTGAGCTAGTTATCATTCAGTTAAATGTATTAAACCTGCCGTATAGACTAGTTGATGCATTTATACTGCTCGCGGCATTCCGGAATGTGGTCTTTCCAGGTCATTTGATTGGCTAACCAAGCAATACTTTTGTCGTTTAGCATAAACTGAAAAGTAGGCCACGTGGATAAGGTGAGGTGAAATGGGGTTTGACGTCGCGTCCAAGATGATAGCGACGTACATGCTTGTACATGCTTGTGCACATGTGACTGCTTGTACTAGTCCGGACTGATGCCGATTTTATAATGCTAGCCTACTGAGATATCATGCCGCAGTTTTACATGAATAACCCACTCAGGCACAGTATACATACTCCGAGCCTACCAGTCCTTGTTTTAGCCCCTTAATGCCGTGATCCAGGCTGGGCAACAAAAGTACCATCTTGTAACGTTTTTTGGTATGACACTGCCGGGGATCGAACCCCTGACCTTCCTCTAGACCACGGAGGCGGTCGCCACGTCCACTAATATAACGGACTATTGTTCCCTGATGGATCATAATAGAATTGGCGGAGCTTGTGTTGTATTATTGCGGTGAACGATGTAGATATATCTACCTGATCTCGTATTGTTTCTGTTTCTGTTTTAATGAACAAGTAATCGGTCTGTGGAGTCATTATTGTTGGCCTATTTATTTATACCAGTTGGCTTCAATATAGATTTTCGGGGTTGATTTTTTGTGTTTATGAATGTATAAACGGAAACGTATACAACCGGTGTGCACACTTTGCATAAATCCATAAATTCTTCAGTACATCCTCAAGTACCCAGTCGGAGATCCGGGTAAGGTCCCCGGGAATCTACGTGTATGCTGAAAGGTCGTAAGGAGCAGGAATCTACGTGTATGCTGAAAGGTCGTAAGGGGCAGGAATCTACGTGTATGCTGAAGGTCGTAAGGGGCAGGAATCTACGTGTATGCTGAACGGTCGTAAGGAGCAGGAATCTACGTGTATGCTGAAAGGTCGTAAGGGGCAGGAATCTACGTGTATGCTGAAGGTCGTAAGGGGCAGGAATCTACGTGTATACTGAAGGTCGTAAGGGGCAGGAATCTACGTGTATGCTGAAAGGTCGTAAGGAGCAGGAATCTACGTGTATGCTGAAAGGTCGTAAGGAGCAGGAATCTACGTGTATGCTGAAAGGTCGTAAGGAGCAGGAATCTACGTGTATGCTGAAGGTCGTAAGGGGCAGGAATCTACGTGTATGCTGAAGGTCGTTAGGGGCAGGAATCCACGTGCATACTGAAGGTCGTAAGGGGCAGGAATCCACGTGCATACTGAAGGTCGTAAGGGGCAGGAATCTACGTGTATGCTGAAGGTCGTAAGGGGCAGGAATCTACGTGTATGCTGAAGGTCGTAAGGGGCAGGAATCCACGTGCATACTGAAGGTCGTAAGGGGCAGGAATCCACGTGCATACTGAAGGTCGTAAGGGGCAGGAATCTACGTGTATGCTGAAGGTCGTAAGGGGCAGGAATCTACGTGTATGCTGAAGGTCGTAAGGGGCAGGAATCTACGTGTATGCTGAAGGTCGTAAGGGGCAGGAATCCACGTGCATACTGAAGGTCGTAAGGGGCAGGAATCCACGTGCATACTGAAGGTCGTAAGGGGCAGGAATCTACGTGTATGCTGAAAGGTCGTAAGGGGCGAGTCCTCAAAGACGTTGATTGCGCGTCATCGTACCTCAAGGGGGTCGTTGAGCGCGTGGATGAAAAGACAAGATGCACGAGAGTTTATTTATAGCTTCTGTTTTGGTGGTGTTGGTTTTTCGCATACTTGTTTCAAGTACACAAGATGCATTATCAGGGAGCTCATTTTCTCTCTAGAGTTTCAGATACATTAATAACTCATTATGTATTAAATATTCTCTAATCAGTTAATTTTATTGCTGGGATTTCTAAATTAAGCGTACATGGAAATGAATCCACTAGCTGTTTCCGCCCCGTGAAGATTCCGGGGTAGAATAGGTCTTCAGCAACCCATGCTTGCTGTTAAAGGCGACTATGCTTGTCGTAAAAGGCGACTAACGGGATTGGGTGGTCAGGCTCGCTGACTTGGTTGATGCATGTCATCGATCCCAATTGCGTGGATCGATGGCATCTCATGATATCAATCACTGGATTGTCTGGTCCAGACTCGATTATTTACAGACCGCCGTCATATAGCTGAAATATTGCTGAGTGCGGCGTTAAACAACAAACCAACCAACCAACCAACCAACCAACCAACCAACTAGCTGTTTCCAGATCACTAAGGACCTAATTGCGCCAGCACAATATAACCAATGTTGAATTTACTGACCAACAGCGTCAGATCTTTTGAGTCCGACGCAATGTGATACACTCTGGCCAATCGGAATCGATTATTCATAGAAGTCAGAGTTATTATTTTGCGGTTGTCTTTGAAGATTTGTTCTATTGTAACACAGTTAGCATGTGTCATAATCAACTGGTCTAAATGTTATCATGTCCTTTAGGGCGAAATAATAAATGAGAGTTTAGCAGTACGTGTATAGAAACTATCTTACTGTAATTGTTAGCGCTGTACTTCGTTTGAAATCCCGACCTGTCTGCACACTGTTGCATATAGTAAATAGTTATAAAAACAGATCAGATCGGAGTCCGACACATATTCATGGAACGACACTCTGACCAATCAGGGGACGTGGGAACGCTTTAACCACTAGGCTACCCTATCGCACAAACTGGAGAGAGAGAGAGAGAGAGAGTTGTGCGGGAATGTATTGTATTCGAAATGATTTTATTTTGCAGCACAAACTTTCAGACAAAGGAACGAAACTGCTGCCAGACGACAATGCCCAGCGTGCCCGAGTCTTGCAGAGAGTGTTCGAGGTATATGTCGAAGTTCGAGATAGAAACAATGTAGACACAATATCTCCTACCTATTTGAAACTCCTGGATGTAAGCATGTTCATTCATTGTAATTGTTTGACCTTCACAACAGTGACTGCACTTATTGCTGCTGCAAGCTAGCTACCGAATTATTGTCCGATTTCCAGAAAACTAGTTAATTGAGGCTCAATACCAGCTGTTTGTGACTGTTCGCTGGTCGAGCTGATTTTAATTGCGACCCAGCAATTTGAGACTATGATACCTGTCAGTGACAACAGAATTGCCATTATATGCTTGCTATAAACAACGTCATATTAGCTTGCGACTCCCTACGGGGTGTTTGTAAGTCAAGACAAGCCAATACTGTGGCGACCTGTGAAGATCCCGGGTAGAATAGGTCTTCAGCAACCCATGCTTGCCGTAAAAGCCGAGTATGCTTGTCGTAAGAGGCGACTAACGGGATCGGGTGGTCAGGCTCGCTGACTTGCTTGATGCATGTCATCGTATCCCAATGGCGTGGATGGATGCTCATGATATTAATCACTGGATTGTCTGGTCCAGACTCGATTATTTACAGACCGCCGTCATACAGCTGGAATATTGCTGAGTGTGGCGTTAAACAACAAACCAACCAACCAACAATATTGTGACAGCCTACAGCTTGTTGTGACTGTATTGTTGCCGATTCTGAATCCAGACTAGTTTGTTGTGACTGGTTGTATTTGTAACTGCATACTACCTTGTGACTACATACAGCTGATTGTCAATCCAGACTGGTGACCGCATGCAAATATCGTGATCGCATATTAATATCGTGATCGCATATTAATATCGTGACCGCATACAAATCAATGTGAGTGTAGAATAACTGGGTGAGCTTATTGTGACTGCATACCAACCAATTCTGGCTCAAGACAAGCATACTATAGCTTATTGTGACTCAGCACAGGCCTTTTGTGACTCGAGGCTGGCATATTGTGACTAAACTATGGTTTATTGTGACTCAAAACTAGAATATTGTGACTGTATAATATAGCTTATTGTGACTCAAGACGAGCTTGTTGTGACTGCACACTAACGGATTCTGACTCACTACTAGTTTATTGCCACTGTACACTAGCCGGTTCTGAACCACTACTAGTTTATTGCGACTGCACACTAGCGGATTCTGAATCACTACTAATTTATTGCCACTGTACACTAGCCGATTCTGACTCACTACTAGTGTATTGCGACTGCATACTAGCCGATTCTGAATCACTAATAGTTTATTGCCACTGTACACTAGCCGATTCTGACTCACTACTAGTTTATTGCGACTGCATACTAGCCGATTCTGAATCACTAATAGTTTATTGCCACTGTACACTAGCCGATTCTGACTCACTACTAGTGTATTGCGACTGCATACTAGCGGATTCTGAATCACTAATAGTTTATTGCCACTGTACACTAGCCGATTCTGACTCACTACTAGTTTATTGCGACTGCATACTAGCCGATTCTGAATCACTGCTAGTTTATTGCGACTGCATACTAGCCGATTCTGAATCACTGCTAGTTGATTGCCACTGTACACCTGCCGATTCCGTTGTGAGGCAGGACTAGCATATTGGACATTCACTCTCACACGTCTCAGGGACGACTGTGGAACTGCAGGTATACTGTTTTAGTAAACGTCGATTTGCTTATTCTGCAGGTGTCTAACGTGGACAGCAGCATCATCACAAACCTGGTTCACTATAGATTCAGGACTCCTAAAGACGAGCTTGATGAGGTAAGTCATGTCAGATCATGGGGGTGATATATCACCCCAGCTTGATAACGTGCAAGAATCTACATCAAAACGTCGCTATGTGCAATAAACCAGACGTTATCCTTACAGCTGCATGTTTTCTAACTTGCTCACCAGCTTCTAGACTGCCAGTCAAAGTCATGTCCGATCTGTCCCTCAGTGTCCACCCTTGTGACTAGAGCCCATAACAGGTCTACCATAGGTACCAACCATTTACAATGTTAGGGGCTTCAAGACATATAATTGAACTTTCTTTCTGAAAGAGAAGCCATACAATTACTGTTTTATCACAAACAAAATCAGGCCATCCAGCACGTTCAGCGTAATTTATTTCGTAAAACGAAGGGCACAAAAATTGGCACAAAATATTTTTTTCAAATATTTTATCTTGCCGGTCATACCAAAAGCCGCTGAAATATGTATACATGCTGTTACCATAGTTGGCGCCCGGCATAAAGGACATGACACAAGGACTGGTCAGCTGGGAGTCTGTATATGTGTCGGATATGAGTCTGTGTCGTATCTCAGTGGGCTCGCACCATAACATGGTACACAGTACAACAGGCATCCTTACACAAGCCTGCTTTTCACCCCTTTGGCTTTAGCTGACCCACCTAGAATCATAAACAGCTAGCGGATCCTGTACTGAGTGAGTGAGTGAGTTGGGTTTAACGCCGCTTTTAACAGTATTCCAGTTATATCACGGCGTGTCAGCTTATTGTGGGAGGAAAGCCCGAAGTGATGCAGGTCTCAGACGTTTACCACTTCGATGAAACCCACGAGCACGGGTATGGTGCTGACAAACCTAGAAACATAATCGGGGCGAACCGGGGTTCGAACCCACAATCATAGGTTTCTGGCGTACCCAAGGGACGCAACTCTGCACAGCGAATCGCGGCGCCTTAGACGACTGGGCCACCCGTGCCCCCGATCCTGTACTGAAGTAAGGGACGCAATTCGCAAATCAAGGTTCTATATCTGACCATGCTGCAAGACAGGCTGAAGTAAATTACGGTCTGGTGTTGAAATATTTGAATAACTGACCACCATGAACAGTCTGACCGTTTCTCCTCGGGACTGTTGCTCACACTATCGGCCACCGGTTTGTGTCCTCAATGCTCACAATACATATTTCCATTATATGCACGAAGGAAAGATATACCTCCCTCCCCCACCATCCCTCCCTTCATCCACTATGTACTGAGGGGGCACGGGTGGCCCAGTCGTCTAAGGCGCCGCGATTCGCTGTGCAGAGTTGCGTCCCTTGGGCACGCCAGAAACCTATGATTGTGGGTTCGAATCCCGGTTCGCCCCAATTATGTTTGTAGGTTTGTCATCACCATACCCGTGCTCGTGGTTTTCACCGAAGTGGTTAACGTCTCAGACCTGCATCACTTCGGGCTTTCCTCCCACATTAAGCTGACACGCCGTGATATAACTGGAATACTGTTAAAAGCGGCGTTAAACCCAACTCACTCACTCACTCACTCACTGTGTACTGGCTTAGATGTTGTTTCTTGTATTTCAGGAGCTGTTGAAGACGAAGTACGAGGCTGTTCGGACTGAGTTGAAGAAATGGGAGGATCACCTGGCGGCTGTAAGTACTGTTACTTATCCCGCGGACGACACAAGGGCCCGTTGCTCAAAGCGTTCTTAGCGCTACACCTATCTGAGCCTATGTTAAAGTTTGGGAGTTGCGATCACCTTGATGCTGAGATCATTTTGTGCAACTGTGCCCAAGGGTGGAATTCTCAATATCGGCAGTCCATTTTTCATACCCAATGTTATATTCCCCATACCTGTCGGAATATTCCGGGAAAAATATAGACCCCCCAGCAACCTATGCTTGTTGGAAGAGGCGACTAAATGGATCAGGAGGTCATTTGCGTGGATCGATGCTCGTGATGTCAATCACTAGTTTGTCGAGTCTAGACTCGATTATTTTCAGACTGCAGCTGGAACAAACAAGACATACTATTGCTCGATAACTTGGGTCGTTTTCCCCATAACAAGGCGTTGATTCCCAAATTCCATGGATCATTCAGAATATCCTGGGATCGATTTCCAATACCTTAGATCGATTCCCCATTCTGTTTGACCCCCCTTACCCCATGAATATTTGTGAGCTTTGTATATTTTAAAAATTACTTGAAGCCCTGTTAAGGTCATATCATAATACCTTGTTTTTTTTGTAAATACAAGAAACTGGTGATTGTTATTATTTTGAGGAGACTATTCTAATAAATGCATTCAATTACTACAGAGCCAAGGCTATGTTGTCGGCAGCAACTTCACAATGGCGGATGTCTTCTTCTTCCCGTATGTCGCCTTCGGGGTGAGACTCGGCCTTGACATCTCGAAATATCCCGCCATTAGTGCCTACTACGACAAGGTCAAGGACAGGCCATCAGTGAAAGCAACATGGCCGCCACACTGGGCTGACGGACCCGGCGACTCTTCCATCATGGGACCCGTGTGAGGAGCTGTGGCTCAGAATGACGACAGAGGTCGCTTCTTTCCAGCCTGTTATGCAACGCCATTTTCAATTTGGCATTAGTCATGCTTCAGTCATAATCATATTGTCCCTATATTGCAAAAGATGTATAGTTTTACATAATACACTGGCGTATGGTTTGTGTTTGGCTCTATAATTTACGCCCTTAACGGTAAACTGACTTACGATAACCTAACTTTGTATGACACGTGGGGCGGCGGGGTAGCCTATTGGTTAAAGTGTTCGACCCGGTTCGATTGCCAACATGGGTACAATGTGTGAAGCCCATTTATTGTGTTCCCCACCAAGATATTTTTTCGAATATTGCTAAAAGCGGTGTGCCTCACTCACTCACGCAACACGTTTTATTCAAACCATGGTACACGAGTAAGCCAGTGGAATAAGTGGGCCTGGGCTTAGTAATTCGCTGTGCGTCGGTTGTAAGTTGAAATCCAAGCTTCTGTCAACATCAAAACAATGCTCGTGCTAGACTACTAATGTTACCACAATCATCTGACGCCAAGAGGTGTTGAGCCGGCGCCTAACTCAATTGTTACTTCAAACCCTAGACATCGGTGTCTGCAACGTTTCTTTTTCTATCGAAAAACATTTACAAATATTGGATTATAATGGCAATTGTTTCATTATACTAGATTTATTTCAGCATTATTTACATTCTGGTTATGCTGGTGGTTTGGTTTCGTTGTAAAGGCATTATTTATGTTAAGCAAAGAGGGAAAGGTTTTATGGTTATGTGTAAAGAAGTTGTTGGAGAATTGTTACATTTGTGCTGTGTAATGTAGTGCTGTCATTTAATAAAATAATACACTCCATATCTTCCCGTGTTCTTATGCTGTTGGCTGGCTGTGACTCTCACAGAGATGGACGGGCTCGTTAACTTACAGATAGCTGATCGTGTGTTCCGGTAGCCGACGAGGGACGTTGCTGATGTTATCAATCACTTGATATTTAAGAAATACAAAATGTCTTTCATTGATTCTGTCGTGTTTAAGTTAGGTTATTTGGGCTGAGGTAGACACGACCACTCGTCCGTTAGTCCGAGGGTAGTGAAAATCTAGAGGGAGAAATTGTTTTATTCAAAAATCAAGTTATTATACAAAAACCACTAGTCCCGTTTGGGTATAATGATCAAAATATTTACAAATTTAGAACGAATGAGTGAATTGTGTTTAACGCCAGTATCAGAAATATTCAAGCTATAGCACGACTACCTGTAGATAACCTATTCTCAACCAGACAAACCAGTGATTGATATCATGAAAAACGATCCATACCAACGGGGTAATCTCCATGGGAGGCAAATACAACTGATAAAGGATAAGCCATACCAGTGTGAAAGTGTTAAGTTATCTCACCGGAAAACTTACCTTTTTATCGACGACATCTACACTGTAAAATGAGAAATTCACCATCTTAGAAAACTCCAATGAAAGCTAGGTGTGTCGAAATGACAGGACGTACCATGGCTATAGAAATCCCTTAACGTGTGAAGATCCTCCGACAGAAAGCTTCCATTCAGAACATTTAGTCGACTGTCTCATTCTGTGTGTGGTGATAAACGTAAGTGAGGTAAAAGGAGTCCTCTCTCCAGCACGTCTTCTTGATGTACTGCTGTGTCATGTCGAGAAGAGTATTATATCACAGCCATACAGTTCATGGGAATGCTATGTAGAAGTCCGCCTCACCAAGCAAACCTGCTATGTAACGTGTTTTTTAGAAGTCAGCTGCTAGACATTTTATGTTTGAAGTAGATCTTGCTTCTTCTCTTCTGAGACAAGCAGACACGCCATGGCCCAGGCTCACAAAATACTCTCAGCGCCAAGACGATCGCGACTCTTATAATAACAATTGACTCTCAGCAATTGAGACGAGCAAACACACTATGTATAGTCCAGTTCCACAAAATACTCTCAGCGCCAAGACGCTCTCAACTCCTTAAATAACAATTGCCTCTTAGCAGTTGAGACTAGCAGATACACCATGTACTTACCAGTTACATAAAGCACTCTCAGGTAAAAGATGAAACAGACATATTCCAGCGGTAAATCACTTTCATGCAAAGGTGTACCAGTCGTGGATGTTGACTTTGTGAAACGTTGTCTAATTGGACTATCGATATGTGCGATAGGCCAATCATATTTAGCACAGGAAAGTTGGCTTGATGTGGCAAGGGTGGAAACAAGACTTTGATAAAAAGGCTAGTGGTCGCTCTTCCCTAGGGAAGATGGTTATGTGTCAAATATTAACATATTGGCTAATAAAAGAGAAAAAATCACAAGACTCATAAGTTTAGTCGTATTATTTTCATCTCCAACAGCATCCCGGATCAACACATCCGGTTGAACGAGCGCCATGACGTCTGTGCAGAGTTGCGTATCTTAGGCCAGCCAGATGCGTATTAATCTGGGTTCGAATCCTAGATTCGCAATGAATTGGTTTTTTCAACTGCTTGAATGGACATGTGTCTAAATGTTTTATGGCTCTGTACACAAACACTCTGATGGGACGTAGAATTATTTCAATGTCAAACAAAAGAAAACAATGCCCATTATTTACAAAATGATGATTATATATATTCCGCATTATCATTTTCATAATCATCTTAAATTACGTTGTGAAAGTATACGTATACTCCGAATCCCCATCTGTCACCTATTCTGTATAATAGCCTGTGAATTGAACCATATGACATACCGACCCCAATACTGCAATAAAGGGGGTTTCTTTTTTTCAACCACGGCACTTACCAGGTTTCGCTAGAGGAAAGGATGACCAGGACATGTAAAACGATGGTATTTAACTATTTTAGATTTATAAACACATTAACCTGTATTTAGTCAAGAGTGGATACCCCAGTAAGGTATTTAGAGTTACCTCCCCTGTTCCACACTCAAGCCCGTCTCAATTTGCCTTTCGGTCAAAACTGTGAACATCTCATTCCGAGTATTTAGGCCACCTATACCAATGGTCAGTCAGCATGTTGGGTTATGTATGTCGACAAATCGGGCTCAGAGTTACTTCTCAGCAACTTAAACGAGTTTGCAGCCGCAAGTGCTCGTCAGTGACCGGTGCGTCATCAGACATGCACCTGCACTGGGCGTCAGGGAGTGCTCCGTGTTGGAAGGTGATGCTCGTCCTGGAGGAGAAGGGAGTGAGAGATTATCCCAACAAGAGGCTTAGGTTTACGCTGGAGGACCTCAAGTCTGATGAGGTTGTCAAACTGAATCCGCGAGGGCAGGTAAGATACAAGGCTTCATATATCATAGGCTGTGTTTTCAATCGTCACCGCTTTGCCGTGTCTAGTTGTGAAACAATTCAATCAAACGAGATCTTTCACTCCGGCACGACAACGCACATGAAGAGACGAATCGCAGCGAAATAAACGATATTTTTATTAGATTCACTTTAGATATCACAACAAACACATTACACTTTAGTCGTTGTTCTGAATTATTGATAAGGGTATTTCTTGTTATGTTATAAATCTATGGAATGTATTCAGAAACAAAAGCCTCTAGATCTATATGTTTTAAAAAACGCCGGGTTTGTTTCTGTCTTAATATTGGGTAAATCATCCGATTATTGTTCAGATTTGGAAAATGAAAATGAGTCTGATAATGCAAGAATGATGTCTTATTTACACTTTGGGTTGTTCAGAATTGTAACTTATATCAAGAATATTTAAATATTGTAACTATTAATCAAATGTAGCTCAAGGAATATTCATTCAAACTTTCAGAAAGTTACTTGATAACAGTTAAACATGATTTTTTGTCAAAACAAAATAAATACGATTGCATGAACACACATGAGGGAAAGAGCAAGGTAAACATTCAGCAACATTTTATGGTACTAAAAGAATACTTACTTGTACCAAGTGATACACTTCTGGACTAATCTATTGTTTTCTCTCAGGTGCCGATCTTCCAAGATGGCAGCACTGTGTTAAAGGAATCCGGTGCCGTATGTCTATACCTGGAGGTAGCTCTGTCATTGGGTGTACTCAGGACACGTTAGGGGTGATAAATAGGACACGGGCAGCCCATTAGTGTAAGTGGCCGCAATTCGCTGTGCAGAGTTGCGTCCCTTACTGATGCCAGGATCATATGATCGCTGATTGTGTGATCCAGACACGATTATTTACAGGCCGCCGTCATATAGCTGAAACATCGCTAAGTGCGGCGTGAAACAACAAACAAGCAACATTTATTTTAGATTTATCTCCAAATAAGAAGTAAATTACATTACACTTGGGAACAGTGTTAGCCCAGTTGGCTCTGCCACCACATTTCAGGTTTCATGTCGTATGTTTTACTCAAATACATGAAGATCTGACGAGGACACCTCAAATAGGAGGTCGCACCAGGCGAAGCATGAGGGAACTTTGACCCTCGAATTAAGGCTTCATGGGTTCTTGAGCCAATTGGTGGTCAGCTTTCAAAAACGGTTTCATTTCTTTACCACTTCGATTCGGATCGCACACCCTTTTGGGTGAAGATACCATGGTGCTCAGAAACGACACGATGTATAAAATATCAACAACAATGTGATAGTGCGGCTTCAGTATTTTGCATTCCGAACTCACCGATTAGGTTCCTTTTGGCGATACAGAAATCAGAAATGCATGTCTAAATGCTTCCCTCACTTTTAAAGGGAATTTATAAGCTTCGTCGATGCTTGGCTGAAAATAAAGTTCACCTGACGCGACCCCCTATTAGGATGTCCTCAGATCTTACTTTGAGAAGTATGGTGTAGGAGTAACGGATTGCATGTCCTTTAGCTATCCATATTCACTGGTTGTGGGTTCCAACTCCAGATTCAACACGATTCTTGTGTGAACACCATGCTCCCTTTCAAGGATATACCTCTACGACCTCTCCTTCACAACATAGCAACCCAGTGACGTAATATGACACGTCCTTACGTAAGCATGATGAAGTACATGATTCTCTTTTATTCCAAGCACAAGTTTCAGAAGCAGGGCACCACTCTCCTCCCTGATGATTACTCACTCCGAGGCGCGGTGCTGCAGAGGATGTTTGAGGTGGGTGTGGAGAACCTAGCATGCAGGGGTGGTGAAATGTTTTCCCCTGCACATGCATAAGTCACTGGCTCATGTCTGGATATTTCCAAGTATCATTTCTTTAGTTATGTCTCCGCCCTCAAAGGGAGAGGAGACATACTGCTTTTGGCCTGGTTCCCATTGACACCAGAGTCGATGTCCGCGCTCCCATCCTTTTTAGAGCCATAATTGAAAATCGTACAATGTTTTTCACGGAAACGTGGCATATGCATTGCTCATCATCTGAACTGGTGCATTTTGCTATTTTTAAAAAAATATCAAATAATTTTTTTTTTATGTTTCCATGGAAACAATTCAACTTAGTCTCAAACAAGGTTAGGGTTTGTTTCAAGAGGAACAACTTGAAAACATTTCAACGAAACTTGGCATATGCATTGCTCATCAGCGTAACTGGTGCCTTTTGCTATTTTGAAGTTTGTCTAATTTATATTGTGTTACGTTTCCGTAGAAACAATTTGTACTTAGTCTCAAACAACTCTAGGCTTCGTTTCCAAGCCATAACTCTGAAACCAATAAATATTTTTTTCATGATGCTATACATGTGTAATAGCCACATGCTCAGATCATTCCTTTTCATATTTTTCAAGTTTTGATTTCTTTAATTTGTTGTGTTTCCATGGAAACATTTTGAACCATGTTCTGTGGGTGTGAAGGAAGGAGGGTGGGGTAGCGGTTGTATGGACCCGTGGTTAGACTGTTTGTGAGGGTTGCCATTCGGGATATTTACCAAGTATCAATTCATTATTCTAATATTCATGAGGAAGTAGGGGGTTGTGGGAGTGGAAGTGAGAATGTGTGTGGGTGGGGTGAGGGTCGGGTGTGTGAAGGCGAGGCTTGGGGGTGGGGGTGTTGGGGTGGAGATGTTGTATGGGTGTGAAGGTGAGGGTGGGGTGTGTGAAGGCAAGGCTGTGTGGGGGTGTTGGGGTGGAGATGTTGTATGGGTGTGAAGGTGAGGGTGGGGTGTGTGAAGGTGATGCTGTGTAGGGGTGTTGGGGTGGAGATGTTGTATGGGTGTGAAGGTCAGGGTGGGGTGTGTGAAGGCGAGGCTTGGGGGTGGGGGTGTTGGGGTGGAGATGTTGTATGGGTGTGAAGGTGAGGTTCGGGTGTGTAAAGGCGAGGTTGTGTAGGGGTGTTAGGGTGGATATGTTGTATGGGTGTGAAGGTGAGGGTGGGGTGTGTGAAGGCGAGGCTGTGTGGGGGTGTTGGGGTGGAGATGATGTATGGGTGTGAAGGTGAGGGTCGGGTGTGTGAAGGCGAGGATTGGGGGTGGGGGTGTTGGGGTGGAGATGTTGTATGGGTGTGAAGGTGAGGGTGGGGTGTGTGAAGGCAAGGCTGTGTGGGGGTGTTGGGGTGGAGATGTTGTATGGGTGTGAAGGTGAGGGTGGGGTGTGTGAAGGCGAGGCTTGGGTGGGGGTGTTGGGGTGGAGATGTTGTATGGGTGTGAAGGTGAGGGTGGGGTGTGTGAAGGCGAGGCTGTGTGGGGGTGTTGGGGTGGAGATGTTGTATGGGTGTGAAGGTGAGGGTCGGGTGTGTGAAGGCGAGACTGTGTGGGGGTGTTGGGGTGGAGATGTTGTATGGGTGTGAAGGTGAGGGTGGGGTGTGTGAAGGCGAGGCTTGGGTGGGGGTGTTGGGGTGGAGATGTTGTATGGGTGTGAAGGTGAGGGTGGGGTGTGTGAAGGTGGTGCTGTGTAGGGGTGGGGGAGGAGGTGACATGTTGGGCGGAGGTAAGACTGGGTGGGGTGGAGGACAAACATCAACAATATTCTCATGTCATATCATTTACAACGGTTATTATATGTAATGTTAACCTCTTCTGACAACCTCCCAGACAGACAACATTGGCCTCATCATCATGAAGAAGGTCGCTCATGTGCGGTTCCTCTTCCCCAAGGACAAGATTGACGAGGTAGGTTATTCCGCATCAGACATTACACAAACACTGATACTAAACTACTCTGTATCATACTATAACGTGTCCCCTGGTCAAACAAGCAAGCGGAAACATTGTAATAACTGCTTCTATTTCCAGGACAAAATGATACCCAAATACAAGGCTGCTCGGAGAGAGCTGCTTCTGTGGGAAGGCTATTTGTCAGACGTAAGTAACGACACACGCAATTTTAAGTCGTCAATGTAATATAAGCATCACCTGTCTTACAATAACGGCGTGGGTGACTCACAGCCCCAGGTGTCACAGACAATAGTTTATTAACGTCTCACTCCTGTACATATATAAAACAGCTTTATACAACCTTACATAGATAAAATGTACAGAACCATTCAATAGAATTATGAGAGACGAATTATCACAGAATTTATACATAAATGATATAAAGATGATATAGTAAAAAGTTATCCATATAAAAGATGTTTTCTACGATTAAGAATTAAAAAGCAGACTTTGGCAAGTATAAAACACACACTGGAGTCACTGAAAATAAAACAAAGTTTGTCGATATCAGGTATATCTAAAAAATTATAAGATTTAGCAATACATTCATTAAAAAGAGTTGCCCTGATATCATCATATAATGCGCAGTGAAACAACATCTTATCCTTACTTAGCACCCCAACTTCTAAATGCCTCTCAAATGTTGCTTGTTGTAAAAGGCGACTGAATAGGAACTGGGGGCTAGGCTCGATGGCGTGAATCGTCCATGTTTGCCTTCAATGTTTTGCCTGGTCCAGATTCGATCAATTCAGATACAGTATACCGACATATGACCTCTGGTCATTTGCAGGCAGCAGTGAAAAGCTGGAATTTTGCTTATTGCGCCATTAAACACCTTTCATACATTTACTCACGTGATCATAAGACTGTTTAGCAAATGGTGACATATGACTTGGTCTTATGGTACACAATGCATTTGGATTTTGTTTCAGAAAAGTGATTTTCTCGTCGGAAATAACTTTACCATGGCGGATGTCTTTCTGTTTCCATATGTGGCTTTCTTTGTACGATATGGCCTTGACATTGAAAAATACCCCGCGATGCAGGCCTATTACAACAAGGTCAAGGACAGACCATCAGTGAAGACAACGTGGCCACCCCACTGGACTAATGGACAAGGTGACTCGTCCGTGTTAGGATCCATATGAAGAGATGGTCGAAAAGTATAGAGGATTGAGATAAACTGATACTACAAGCACAGGGGGTTATGAACGGCTTGGTGGTATCTGTTTTGAAATAGGCACCGTTTCAAAGGGAGACCCATCAAGGCTTGCACAAGTGATTATATTCTGTATTAAACCTACCGAGAATATAAGTGGGGTTACAGCCGGACAAGGTAGCTGATGGGCCATTTTTGCTCTTCGGATATTGATCAAATAATTGAATAAATTAGGAATATTTTTACAAATAATCATGACGGTTGTGTGTTCACTTGTATGAGAATTCGACGTTGTTCATTTCGTCTTTTGCATGTTAGGACTGGTAACAATGCTGAATGAATGGGTTGGGGTGTGCCGACCAGTCTTACCAATTTGATTTTCTTTCGAGATAAAATGGTAAAAACATAGAAAAACAATATTCATCTTGGATCACGGAATTGCTCATCATTACAAGTTCGAAAACTTCCCCAGCTTGAATAATAGACATTTCCAGTGACCAACTAGGGCCTTCATGCTACCTTGTTCTGTGGGCCTGCTATTCCAACACTGACCACGCATACGGCCTCATCTACGTCATGCTGTATCACCTAACAGTATTATGAAGGTCGCCGACACTGACCCAATATGACGATTGGATATAGAATCGAGAGATACAGATGGTCGAGTCATAAAATATTATGTATATTTGTGTAAAAGTGTGTATGTTTTGTTTTGATAATAAATAATGTTTTAAATACAAACAGGCGGGTGTATATAAGGTCATTTTTGGAATGTTCTACGTCTTTACACTAAGACAAACATCGTTTGTTTTTTTACGAGTGGGAGAAGGTTCTTACAGACAGAAGCTGGCTTCTTCGTAAGAGTTAATGACAGTTGGGAGTTAATAAATAGTTCGGGTCTGTATTTCCTGTGATGTTGCAAAACTACTGATGCTGTCTCTGTTCAATTAGGCCAATTAGTAATCATTGCTAGATCGATCTCGATCAGATAGATTTTTCTCAACAGTAATGTATATTGTTAAACAATAAACCAAGCTCGTGCTCTCACTTTGACCTTCTATTCAGTTATCTATCCCGGAAAAGCATTGACCAATGTATAACTGTTCAGAATTCTCAGTTCTGGTGGAGATCGTTACGTGATCGGCTAAGATTCCAATTACAAAACATGGATTATCACGTTTCGGAAGATTATCTCTTCGTGACTATAACGCGTTATGGGAACCGCACAATACACCCCAGGCTTCAATAACGAAAATATCAATAGAAAACAACTTTGTAATTTGTAATAGCTTGCATTGTTTTCGCCCTTCACGTTTCGCCTTGAACTAACGCTCCAGTCAGTATACATCGATTTTCCATCGCATCAATCAGACAATCGATCTTGTCTCGGGAAACGTAACTTCGACCACGATGCTCAATCCGGTACGGCTGACTGGCATTAACTTCATGAATATATGTCGAGCTTTCAGCTTTGAAAACTCGCAAATTATGCACACGATACTTACATTATTTCATGAATATGTTTCAACATTTTATGACTTGTAATTTAACTATGCTATTATAACAAGTAGGAATATCCAGCCATGTGACCATATCTGACAGATATGCAACAGTGTTCAGTGTCGGTAACGACGTTATTATCACGAGTTCGTGTACAGATGAAAACTGAGGGTAAACAGTTAATGAAAACCACCAAGTCTGCTTTATGTAAAATGCATGTCACATTGCGCGTCCATCAATATTAGGTAAACTCACCACGATTCAGTAAGCATTCGTCTCTCTGACGTGGCATGCTCCGGATCAACCATTTGGTCAACAAACAGACATTTGGGGTATTGATATAATGCTTATTTCGTTAAAATTGAAACATTAATGACAAACGGTGTCGCATCTTCCCGAAGCAAGGGAGTTAAAAGTCCATTTTCCACCCTTGCCAAACTAGGCTGGAATTCCTGGGCTCGATCATAGCGCAACCAGTGGCTATTACGAGCTATGTTCCTTCTATATATATCCTACTGACCAATCAGAGTCCATCTCTCATATCACTTGCATTTGCTTCAAACAAAATGGCTGTGCACAGCGAAGAAGGTCTGATCGATAATCAAGATCTATGTTGTAATAAAACGGGTTTTACTACGAGAAGTGCATCAAATCACGTAAACACCTTGATAAAAAAAAACATGAAAAAGATTTTGATAATATCTGTTGACGCTAAGTTGATGGTACGCATGCTTTGCAAATCCAGTAATTGACCGAAATCTGCACGACAGTTTAAGAACCGGGTGTCGATTTTGTTACGCTACTGAACTATCCATAAACTTGTTAGTCCAGCCAAAATATAACTCCACAATTCCAACCTAGTTCGGCAAGTATGGGAAATGGACTTTTATAGTCAGTTAACTCCCTTGCCTCGGGAAGATGGCGGTATCTCTGATCAATGTCAGATAGCGGCGAGTAGGAATAACACAAATAGTACGCTTGAACCATTTATTGAAGCCTCAACTGTCCATGTCCAGGCTGACTCACAACAGTATGTAGACCCCTAGACCCCTAGGCCCCTAGACTGCTAACACCGCTCTCAAGGGGCAACCGATCTCACTAAAATCAGACCTTAGTTCTCGCTACCGCTAAACACAGATCTGAGGACATTCCATTAGACATCAGAACGACCTTTCATCATACAAGTCAGAGCGTCGCTTACCAGATGAGGAAACAATCGAAATACGTTTTCCAATCATGCAACCTCGAAAATGCTTACACGGGGTATTCCGAACGACTGCTACGGCCTGTACGACTGGTTCCGCCCAAATCATCGTCTATCTCTCGCTTCAATAGGATAAACATTTGAACGGAAGAGAAATTGCATATAACCTGGGAAGTACTGCAATACAATCTCGACTCTATATTAAACGTAAAAGAATGTTCTTTTGTTCAGTTTTCAAATTTTAAATCAAGAACTTAGTCAAGCTAAGTCTGAAATTGAAGTCGCCAGTTTGAAACTAGTCCCGTAAAGCTTGAGAAAGTTGCTTTCTGACGGGGTAATGTTCTTGCTAGTCATTTCATTGGTCGGACAAAGTTCGCGAAGGGTCGCTCTCACGGGACGCGTTATGCAGTCTTTGTTTAGCGGCAGCCAATGAGATTGGGAGACTCCATATTGCGACTGTCCGGAGCTGTAAATCCTACGAATTAACCCTTACCTCACACCATACGAACTCTACACATCAATTTACATCTCACATTTACGTGAATTGTACATGAGCTACATACATAAAATCCTTAAACTTTGAGCTCTATCTTTTATTGAAAAAGATCCATGTTTTGATATCCTCGTCACACTAACAAGGGATACATCAGTTGGCCTGTTTAAAGTCTGTCCGTTTCATGAAATAGTTTATACATGTACAAAACACCACATCAACACACTCGCTGTTAGATTCCAGAGACAATAACGTTACTTCATTTCGTTTTTGTATTTGACCAAAATGTTAAATTGTGTCTCATATTTGATAAAGGAAGTTTGATAATGTTTGCGTTGTAACAATAAAAAAAATTGAAGAGATTTGGACTACTTCTTTATAAGCATGAAGTGAACAAGGTTCAAGCAGTTTGGACTATATGTTTGCGTTGTAACAATAAAAATATTTTGAAGAGATTTGGACTACTTCTTTATAAGCATGAAGTGAACAAGGTTCAAGCAGTTTGGACTATATTTAAATCCAAACCTGTATACTATCCCATTCCTCCTTTAGGTGGCCCAGTCGTTTAAGGCGCCGCGATTTGCTGTGCCGAAACCTATGATTGTGGGCTCGAATCCCGGTTCGCCCCGATAATGTTTCTAGGTTTGTCAGCACCATACCCGTGCTCGTGGGTTTCACCGAAGTGGTAAACGTCTGAGACCTACATTACTTCGGGCTTTCTCCCACATTAAGCTGACACGCCGTGATATAACTGGAATACTGTTAAAAGCGGCGTAAAACCCAACCCACTCACACCTTTAACGAAGGCCTAGTTTATCTCGCTTGGCGCGGAGGGCGAGGTACACATGTTCCAGATCTGTTCGTTGGGGAAAGATGGGTGTCAGTGCTGGTCAGCGTAATGGGATAATGTTCTGCGATGGCAAAGTGGCACCAACCATCAAAAATAGGTCCCGGTACTTCCTCGTGATCCATCCATGTACGATGTATAAAGGCCCCCAGTGACTACGTTGTCTGTACCATTGGCACCAGGTTGCGATGTGGAGATCAATCAAACGTGGACTTCGAACGTGGGTTTTTGGGTTATTTATCACATTCATTGGTAATAGGTGTTGACTGAAATCTCGTTTCTGAATAATATCGTACTATTTTCGATATCCCCTCCGTCATGAAAATAATTCATGAAAGTTTCACATTGTAATATCCATGCATTTTTGTAAGGTATTTCGTTTTTGACGTTAGTCTGTATCCAAACCTAATGTTAACGGCTAAAAGGGTTACACCAAAATGGATATTACTGGTCGCCAAAACGCAGTTTAACAAACGACCATGGAACAAATCCCGAATGTTTTCCATGAAAATTAAAATTCACATGCATTTCCTTGTGGCCTTTCTGATAAACGGCACCCCTACAACATTCTTGTATCGATACTAGCGCCATGCCAAGACTTCAGAGAAACCAGGCCGGTCAGACTGCACGAGTGGTTGCCAATACTGTTGATGTCCACGTGAGGACCATCTACAGATTACAGAAACGATACCAGGTCACCAACAGCATGCAGTTGTCATCAAGCCTGGTTTCTCTGATTTGGATACAGATTAATGTCAAAAACGAGATATCGAAGAACAATCCATTGACATTTCTATGGGAAACTTTCATGAAATAATTTAATGAAGTGACGTGTCTTTTGAGGTCCATAAAATTATTTATCTTGTTTAACACCCAAATCAGCAATATATACACCTCGTCAAAAGTATCGCACCACCAAATTTGAAGTGTAATTGAGAGTACATTTTCAACGGAGATTTTCAAAGGGTAAACTGTGTGTTGACACATCATCTGCATGCCTGTAGAATGGTAACCAGCTTAACTGCCGAACCTCGTTGATGCGTTAATGCGAGCCGTATGCACACTAAAGGGGTATCTATAGAGAAAATCATGCTTGATGACAAAGTTTATGCGTCTTTACTTCTATTAATTTGGAATGGAAATTATATCAATTTGACAGTCTGTGTTTGGAACGATTGTTACTGAAATGCCTAAGCATACTATCCAAGAAAATCAAAGATGACAAATCAGTGGCATGCACCAAGTGGCATGTCATGTCAAGCTATTGCCACCGTGCTGAACATTAATCATACTGTACTCAGTCGACTCATTAGAAAACACACATTGACAACCCATGTGAGGACTTGCCGAGATCAGGACGTCCACGGAAGACCAGTTGCGGCTCAGAGAGGACAGTGTCCTTCTACGCCAGGCAAAACGGCCGCCAACTTCAACTTGCACTGTTCTTCGCCATCACTGGCATACCCACAACAAAGTGTCCCTCACCACCTTCAGGCGTCGACAGAATGCAGCAGGATTAAGGGTCAGAAGACGTCCACTCGGTTCGCCCCGATACATGCGGGACCGTTTAGACTGGTGTCAGCCTCGAGCACACTGGAACTTGAGATCATGGAGGAGGATCCATTGGTCTGACGAGAGTCGGCTTTTATTGCACCACACTGATGGTAGGAACCGTGTTTGTAAGAGGAATAATTTATCAGCGCAGCATCCAGGGAACGGTGGCATGTGGTGGCGGCTCATTGATGGTTTGGGGATGTTGCTCCTTTGATTGTCAACTTGATTGTCAACTTGATTGGGTCACAGTGCAGGGGACATTAAATGAACAAAGGTACCAAGATACCACATTTGACGGTTGTGTTGTGCCTCATTTTGATAATCATGCACTTGCCACACATCCAGTCTTCATGAACGACAATGTCCGACCCCACCGAGCACGAGCTGTGACGGACAATCTCCCGAACAACGCCATTGAGACTCTGCATTGGCCTTATCGAAGCCCAGACCTGAATCCATTCGAGCATCTATGGGATCAGTTTGGGCGTAGGGTTAGAGCCGGGGATCCTGCAGTACAGAATCACCAAGAATTGACCCAGGAATCGCATCGGGAATGGCAACACATCCCTCAGTTGAGGACTAGGCGTCTGATTTTGAGCATGACGTCTCGCAGATATGATCATTATACCGGGTGGCAACAGCTGATATTGACTTACACTGTTGATCATTTAACTGTGCCATGGATACAAGGTTACAAAGACATACGTGTTCATGTGTCCATCTCATTCCTGACGGTTACCATACTTATCTGCCTCTATTTGTCCCCAATCACAGACCTTGTAGTTGCTGGTGAATAAAGTTGCTTTTTCTCTTTGCAAATGCTCACTTTTTCTATTATTCGTAAAATTAACTTCTTATTTGTCATTTAGACATTTGATTGTTTTTCTTTGGCTTTCCAGCTTCTCCTTACCCATCTCTTTTCTGATAATTATAAAGTCTTGGTGGTGCGATACTTTTGACAAGGTGTATACTTCTTTGATAACGGTGTTGTTTGTTTGTTCTTTAACGCCACACTCAGCAATATTCAAGCTATATGACCGCTGTCTGTAAATAATCAAGTCTGGACCAGACAATCCAGTGATCGACATCATGAGCATCGAGCCACGAAATTTGGATACGATGACATGCATCAACCAAGTCAGCGAGCCTGACCACCCTGATAGTCACCTCTTACAATAAGCATTGTCGCCTTTTACTGTGTTAAGTAAGTAATCGACGCTGATATAGACAAACCACTGTTGCATTTTAAGCAACGTTTTCCGCAATCCCTTTTCTTTGAGACAATAAAACATGATTAAACATTTTTGCCTCCTTTTGGCAAACATGGTAATTGAAGATAACATTCAAGAAAAAAAACACTGACTTCAAGACAATGATAGTTTTATTTGTGAACAATGCTCAAAATACAGCAGCATACCCAAGCTCACAATGCATACATGTAAAATGATTCACCACTGGATAGATGACACTTTTGGTCAGGTGCAAGTCCATACAAGGTGTTGACAAACACCTTCACCACAGCCTATCTATACCAGAGTTCAAGATTTCTTATCTCCACCCAACCCTCCCTCTGCAACATATGATTGAGCAGTTTCGCAACTCTTTGTAACCCAAAATAGTTGCTTGGAAAAGGTCTTGCCATCAATACGATCTGATACTACCCATCCTAACTCTGCCTTCAGAAAAATTATAAGAAAACGTCATGAGAAGCCACAACAAAAAAACATGGCCATGTTCACAAGTGAGTGGCAAAATGAATGTTTACAGCCACAAAGCTAACATTAACTTTTGTTAGAAAAACATCCACTGATGTTTACTTGCATCAGTGTTGCTCAGCCAATCTTCAATCCTAGTATAGGTCTACAGTACAGCAAGAATAATGAATCCACCCAAGTTATATATAGAATACTCCAGCCATATGTTGAGTGGTGGACAACACTTATATATGTGATAAACCTACATGGTTTGTGCAGTTGAGTCAGGACCCTCTCATATCTAGTAAATTTCTGTACAGTGACAAATAGGTCTCCCTCCTCATCAAGAATGTCCTGACCTGGACCGTCACGATATGGCTGAAATATTGCCAATGTGATGTTAAATATTAACTCACTCACCCTGACCTGGAGGTAGTGTACAACAGCAGTGCAAACCTGGAGAGAGTTACACATGTGGCTCTCCTCTCCCTCTATCACAGATGTGCTGCCAGAGCTCCTGCACCAAACTGCAGTCAGTACACACAATCCTGTATCCACTGACGATTGTACCTTGGGGGACAAATACCTACCTCCCTATGAGGGAATACAATGGAATGGAAGGGCTATCCCCAATGAGTGAAATGTCTGAGTGTTTGACTGACCTTCTGGCTGATGCAGGAGCCCACCTCAAATAATTAGCATGAAATTGACAATTACCTGTGAAATTCTAGTCAACACCTAAGTGAATGGTTGAGTAAGGTGGGTTTAACAATGCCTTGAACAGTATATGAACTACAACTCTGCACAGCAAAATGCAGCACCTTCAGACACCAACAACCCTTAAGCCCAAGCTGAGCATTTCTAAATCAAGGCAAAGACAGACACATTCATAAATACATTGGAGGAAAGTTGCAAGACCCAAACAATGGCAGATTGAACTCCTAAAGGCTGAACTATGCATGGGCTGATGAGATGAACTGATGGCAAAACTACATGGTAATTTCACAAACACTAAAACATAGCCTGCGTCATTAAAAGTCAATCATCTGACTTGTCTATAAGATGGCAAGATTTAAAAACAACAAAAGGTCAATGTTGGCTGGACACTGTCCTCATCCAACATATGAACACTGAGTAATTGAATCTACAATATAACAGTCTATGATGAATCTGTTTGATAATATCACAATAATGTAAGTACAAATGAGCACAGTATATTACAATGAAGTTGACACAACATGGTTAAAAGGAACGTGATCCCAACTATTCCTACAAAAGACTTACGTAGATGCTAACAGTCAACAAAGGAAACAAACTGTGAAATGGCCAAAATGGTAAAACAAATTTTGGTGAAAAGAGAGACTGGTTATTTTGATTATGTGTATGTGTTTGATAATCAAAACATTTCCACTTCCAAAATTTTTCATTAACAACATACCACACATATTCTTTGAAATCCTGGATAGCTACATAAAACCATACACTTATGAAGCTAGTTTTGATAAACATAAACATCAGATATTCTATCATTGTACAGACTTTTCTTTTTACAAATCACAACCAAGAAAAATCACCATAACTTACATGGCAAATAAAGAGTGTTAAAATTAACATAAAGGAATGATCATTATACCCATGGCTGAAAAAAACCCAGAATAGCCTTGACAAGCAGTAAACGTAAGGTTGTGATGAAACTCTACATTAACCCCCAAAGCACAATATACAGCATGGTGTTAGTAGAAATAATTGTGAGTGACGTTATAAATAATCAACGACATACCTGCATGACGGTCATATTCAATAGTGTGAAATCATATTTACAATTATCAATATATAATTCAACATGTTGTGTGTAACAAGTGAGATTAACATTGTCCATTGCAGCAAGGACACTCTTTACAGTAGTGAAATGTCTGTTGAGTGCTTCTGAACAAACTTGAAGCACAATGACATTTCAGCGCATTGGAAACCAGAATGTACACATACACCTCTACCATCCTGATTGTGATGCTGACTTGTGCTGAAATTTTGGTGGTTCTTTTTCTCAAAACCCATTTTTTCACAAGAAACTATAATCTCTTAACTGTATGAGTGACTCAATTAAATTTTGGTGGTTCTTTTTCTCAAAAAACATTTTTTCACAAGAAACTATAATCTCTTAGCTGTATGAGTGACTAAATTAAATGTACTAGAGGTTACCAATGTGGCAATAACCTATATACAAGCAAGAACATAGATAAAAAGCTATCAAAACAGTACTTATCAAATATTTGCTGAACATGTTCGCAGACTTTATAGTTAGTCATCAAGAAATGCTTACCAAGCAGTGGAAGACAGTTTAGGTAGATAAATATATATACTTTAGATAATGTTCTAAAACTGTTTCTACAACAATCTTGCAGTCTGTACAGCTGTTGAAGTTCATAAATATATTTTATTACGAAAATGCTTCATGTTCAAAATATATCTAACAGAAACAAACAACTGTCATATTATTGCAACGAAATAATTGTGTTACCCTAGTTTGCCCTAGTCAATAAAATCAACAAATCTCAAACCAAATACAATACAAGTTCCTGGAATGCTTATTGAAACACTCTACAGACATAAAACAGGAAACTAATTCCTTTCCACGCTTGTTTTCAACACAAATGGTTGACAAGAGCAAAGTACTTTGAATAAAAAATAAAAGCTTTTACAGATCAAATGAGCCCCCTGTTACTTCAAACTAGTCTAATACAGTCTGTCAGAACATTGGAAGAAATTCTAAGCCTATAAAACGTCTCGAGAATCTTATCACACTTCAGCTGTAAATACCTATAAACATAGCCAGTTGTATTGCACTGCCTTAAGAAAGCCATCAGAACAGAGAGCTTGTCATGATCCTAACCTGAAATAACTGTACTTGCAGATGAGCTGTCCATGAAGCATAAGCCATAGCCCCATCTCGTAATGCTGCACAATGTATACATGTATATGCACTTATCATCTAAAACTTACAGAAGATAACAACGGTCCAGCACTTACCAGAGGTTAGTCATCATGTTTCAACAAGGTTAATAAATTATTATAATGCAGGGGTGTGGAAATATCAACATGGTGAGGTTATCCCTGGTCAAGTGAACAATAAAAATTTACTTGTCTAGAGACAAACTTGACTTGTCCTGATTATTGACCAAAAATGGTTATCACACTTGTCTTTCACTGCCTTTGATTGAATCAGTTGATGTAGCTCCACGATTTCCCCCACCACTAATAAAGAAAATCATCCATTGCTAGGCCGTGATGCAACTCAAACCACTTGTCTTGAGCAGCCAGTGTGGTCTGCCATGAACAATTGGCTATGTGGTACTGTGATCAACCAATCAGAGAGCATATCACAAAGTGCCATCGCAACCAGAACAAGGAAGTAAACAATACACTGACGTCAGTTGGATTGGTCATACTGGCAATGTTTACACGTTTCCAAGGTATATTTAGTATCTGTTATAATATTTTATCAAACTCGACTAAAGGTCTGACAAATTTTAAGGTTGTCCACAGACAAAGCTGATTTGGGCCATCTTGCGTAACATTGATTTTCCACACCCCTGTATATCCATTTACTGATTCCAAACTTCACTGTAACTTTTGTTGCAAACTGATTTTCAAAGATTTACCACCTACAACATAAGACCACAGCAGGTAGTGAGGCAAGTTTACCACGCCATGATCCCCAAGGTCATGTTTTGTGACATAAACAACAACAGGAGGGAAAACACTGACATGTCCTATGACGAGGTTTGAGATCACTGTAAAAGGTTGCCATGGTAACCAGTCACTTGCCATCAACCTTGAGGTACAGAATTCATGCAAATCTGGTCCATCCTCACCTGCATCATATCACATCACACACAAAGGAACAGCACTGTTTTCACATACATACATCTCAAGGACTAAATTATCACATCTCCAAAAACATAGCTCCAGAGGTCAAAGGTCAGTGACATGTGCAGCATTCGAGGAAACTTCATCTCCGAACTGATCAAGGTGGGTTGTGGAAATGGTTTGACTCCTCTCTTCCACATATAAGTTAAAACACATTGAAGCACAAAATCCTGTATGATATGACATGTACGTTATGGGTAATTCCTGTGATGATTGTTGTCCCCATGAGCAGATGGTGTGATCTGAACCCATGGCAGTTCCTCCCTCCGTTCATAGTTATTGTTTATAGGGGTTGTCCCATTGCGATGGATGGATCTCTTGGACCGCGTGCTTGCCTTGCTGCGAACACTCTGCCTATCAGAAGCGTAGTACAGGTTGGCAGCGGTCGTGTCCGCAAGGCTGTTGTCCCTCATCGTGGTGTCGTAACTAGGGGGCATCTCCAGCGTGGTAAACTCGGACATGTTTACGTGGTCAAATGTCTGATTGTCTCTGTAAGCGTTGTGTGCTGGGGAGCGGTATCGCATCTTGACAAACTCCAGTTCATCATTGGCTGGACTGGCTGCAATACGATTGTCACACAGATTAAACATGAGGTTCATGTTCCACACACAAGATAATTACACGCAGGTGACTACATCTGAAGCAAGCTCTTTCTAGCAAGGACAAACATAAACACTCAGTATTAATCTGTAAGTATGATATGATCGTGAAGGGTAAGAGATCTTGTGGCTGATCGTGTTGACGTCTGAAATTACCATGAATTATTTCTGGAATCTGCTGTCAACAAAATAACATTTCTGTGCAGAAAAACAAAGAATGGATCTCATAAACTTCTCATGCTAAAAGGCTTCAAATTTAGATGTAAAAATAAAAAAAATTAAATTAAAAATTTCACTTGCTTGAAACAATGTATTTGTAAATTCAGTTGAGCATACAAAATGTACATCAAAAGCTTTGTCCAAATCATAACCTACTGATTATCACAATAAATAAATAAATATTTAGTTAATAGTTATCATGGTTATAAATATGGTCTGCATTCACATAACTATTTATTCATGCCTTTTTGTCAAAACTATATCTGATAATGATGATAAAAAGATTTCACTCATGTCATCTAGTTGTCTACAATTGTTAGAAATAGCATTCACAACAATGCCTCTTGTAAAATATTGTTTAATGCAAACAGTATGATCATATTTGCATGTCTACTGTAAAAATGCCTACGTAAAACAGCTATGACGCTACTACGCAGTAACACAACTAGCGCATAATATGCTCAGAAATATGATAAAACTCAAAATTTCTTCTCACTTCCTGACCAAATTTGTGTTTCGTCAAAATTATTCTTGATAAGCATTTGCAAGATAAACAATTGTAGTTATCTCTGCACATGGCCTAACATGCACCTAAACGATGTGTAAGAGATACAAAAGCCAACTTAATATCTGCAATAAGGTCAACAAAATGCACGTGTGGCATGGCATACAGTAAAGAATCGGGTGACAGAGTAAAAAAAACATAATCGTCCATGCAAAAAGTCCGAAAGCCTCAGCAGAGAAAACACATTGTGCAATACCAGTGACATTTTCAGACAGTTACACTTTCATCCTGTTTACAAATATGTACATACCATGACAAAGATCACTACAATGCGAACACAGAAGTAAACAAGCAAACACCCTCGGACAAACAATGGCCAACTGAAATGATGGGGGTTAGTGGGATTAGAATGAGAGTACTGCTGGCGAATGGGTGACTAGGAGGTGAGGGTTACAAACGATAACAAAATATGGAGTGCTGCCCGTGACGGGGGTAAGGTTACCTTCTGTGTAACGGATGTACTGATCATCTGAAAACATTAACACTTTACATTATGTCTTAGCGCTCTCTCAATGCTCCAGTCCAATGTCATGTCTACCATCTTTGATCTGAGCCCAATGTTACACTATCATCTTTGATCTTGAGTCTAATGGAAGAAGCAAGATCTTAGTTCCAGTGTTATAATTAAATCTATGATCTATATATACTATGTTTGACACATAATCAATTTGATTTAAGTCTAATAGTTATATACTGTATGTCCAATTAATATTCATAAAATCAAACCATGTACATAGTTACTAGTAATACTGGTTAAACCCCCATAATAATAATAAATATTCATGCAAAACTATCAACAACTAACGCCTTCCGCGATAAGTTCTTCAATCAAATATCTGCCATGACAGCTTTACAGTTGTTTCTTGTTTAGCAGTTCTGTAGAAATTAGTTGAGAAAAACAAAAGTCGCATTGAATTATCAAAAACTTGTGGAAACCAATTTTTATCTATTATATCCAGAGAAGTTCCAATCTCCATTAAATAATAAAACACCAAAGACCCTAATGGAAGATTAAAAGAGTAATCGTTACGTCAATGCATGTATCTTGTATCAGGACCTTCAAATATCCTAGAAAGACAAAAACAGCATATTCTACCTTGAGCCTGTTAAAGAGAGATATAAACAGCAAATGACAAGAAAGGAACTGACATGTCAAAGGTAAAAGGGAAAAACAGCTTAGTGTATGAACTGAAAGCAAAGGCAGCCATTTACATTCACTAATTATTAAAATAATAGGTCAACATGACCTACAAGGTCAGGTCAACGTGACCTAAATATTGCCATTCAGGGATATGGGTAATGTGAGCTTGCCGTCTTGAAATATGAAGCTGCAATCATTCATTATAAGGGGAGGATGGTAAATATGAAATGTGGAAAATACGAAAACAGAGCCGAAAAGAAAATGAAAGCCACAGAACCAAAAAGAAAATCCAAGAACGGAATATCACGTGGTAAACATGGATATTATCTAGGAAATAAGGTTCTAAAATTTGGGCAACCAGGAAGAGTTAGTCATCAAGGCAACTCAAGATGCTAACAGGTCAATTTGAAAATGAAACCTTTAAATTTTAGTTGTATCTGTAAAAAGAGGCTGCAGTTGCATATAGGAGGCCCTGATGGCAGCTAGATCAGAGGGATTTGTGTCATACCCGTGGATAAAATCAACTGCAAAGAGAAAGATGGACAGATATTGTCAACAAAATGATTGGAACTAAAATGACAGCAGTGACAGTGAGATAGGGTGGAGACTCAACCTGACGGTAAACAACCGTCTGTGCTAGGAATTAACAACATTTAGTGCTGGGCACTGCAAGAGCTTGAAACAGGTTCAGGAGGAGATGGAACCTGGTGATGTTTCTCTATTAACAGTAATGATAACCGGTGCAAACTGACACGAGTCCAAGTGTGTCTAATGATAAAGGTATTAAGGGGCTAGAATAATTTATGATTTTTAATAATGGGGTCGTAATTTGTCATCACTATTTGGACTAGCATGCGTTTTTGATTGGCCTGCATGAAATTTGGAACAGCGGTTGTTTTGTCATTATACGACAATAATTTTTCCACCAGAAAAAAAACAATCAGATTGTACTTGTGACAATCTTAAGATTTTTGGTAGGGGCGACAAGCATATATCAGTGTTTTGTCCAGATGAGACCTAAGGTAAGGCATCAATTATATCTAACTATTACATTTAATATGTTTCACTCATTGCAGCTCTAGTTGTTTAGCTTGGCACAGTATTAACCCACCGGTACAGGTTATACACTACACACCCTTAGAGTGTGTAGGGTTATTTCCCTTACATTAGACTGATCAGGCTTCAAAGGATGTTTCATAAACAAGAGATTCCAACATATGGAAATCACAGTCAGAGTCACATTCACAAATATCAGAAAAGAAAAACTTTATAAAAAAAAATTAAATAAAGATCTTATTAAAGAATGGAGAAAAGAGTATTAAAAAGTAAATGTCCTGACATCTGGATTTCATTATTCACAGTTTATGCTACAAAACATTGTTCTCATTAATCTGTCTACTGATTCATACCGTTACACGGAACAGCCATTGCTATTTCTCATAACCATCATGCTTCCATGATTTACTGCATAAACTGTCCACAATTTCCTCTTTGCTGGCTCAATTCTTGTCCTTGTCAGAAGCTAGCTCCTCCCTATGAACGATTTTGATATTGGCTTGTCAGTACTCAGAGCTACAGGCTGTTTCATAGAGTTTTCCTGATAGAATCCAGATTTGAAACATACCACACCAACATCCCTGCCATAATGTACATGAATATTAATCCCACAATTACTGCAACACGATTCGCTTCAAAAAACACTTGCCTTCAAAGACGTGTACTTAATATTTTAGATCATGCAACTTTCTATGAACTTATCAGGTTCGAATCATCGAGAGGGTGTGGATTTTTGGCCGCAATCTTCACCTCAGTAATGGCAGATTAAAAATCTTTCCTGGTTCGGTTTCCAAATCGAAAAGTAAATATATTGCTGCATGATCATTATATAAGTACTCGTGTTGAGTTGACATATGCACTTCGCTGAAGCATATAAAGAGCAATGCAGATTTGGATCGGGATCTATCAGGTAAACAGTGAGACAGCTCGTAGCTCTGTGTATCGACAAGTCAATATCAAAATCGTTTATCGGGAGTAGCAGCGAGATACAGTTACCGCAGCTAGTCAGAACCCTGATGATCCAATCCGAAGCAGTGTATTGGATCTTACCAACAGTAACAACGTACACAGTATTGTCCCTTGGCACTAAGCAATAAGAATGATGTTTCTCATATGTTGTTTAATGCATATTCCAGCTACAACACTGCAGCATGTAAATAATCAGGCCACGATCAGATAAACCAGTGATTGATGCATCCAATAGTGTTAGGATGCATCATGCCATAACATGCAATCAGCCACACTAAAGAGTCTGAGCATCCAGTTAAGTTCAGTCGCCTCATACAATAAAACAGGTTGCTGGGACCTCTTACTACCAGGAATGCCCAATGGGCAATCAGGATGATGTGAGAAGCTATGGACATATGAGAAAACAGCCAGTGAAAGTCCTGTGGGCAGCTCCTCCTGCTCTACAACAGTGTTGCAAAAGAAATCAGTTTCCTCTGTCAAAAGTTTACCATTTCAAACAGAAGGCTAGAAGACAGCTGTCACCAAATTCTGTCCATTCAACATGATGATTTTAATAAAAGAAAAAAAACTATTTAAATGGATTTCTATTGGTGAGATCTATTGAAGTGATTTCTATATGACCTGAAGTGAGCAAAGCTTGAGAGAATGGACTCTTCCAAACCAGCATAACATTTATACTGTAAATTCCATCTTAACAAGGATGGACACCCAGGGTTTACAGCCATGGCAGATTAAATTTTAATGAAGTGAAGGTGAAAAACTGTTGTTGTGAAAGCAGTGCTGGTTTAGATAGCTTCCGCAGCTGGCTACAACAGGCACTTGTGTCTTCAGTACATAAGTTTTATCAAAATTTGAAAAGCGTAACAGCCCTATAAGGCATCTTACAGCAATGGAAATGCAACAAAAATGCCTGTTATTCAGGTAACAATTGGAGTTGATTTCACTAAATATTCTGGGTTACAAAATAGTTTACCATGATTCATATTGACGATCCATAGTTTAGTTAAGCTTACACTTGGTGGATTGGTAATAATGAACAAAGGTCTTGGCTGACTGGTACTATTTTAGATAATCATGTCATAGATAACAAGAGATAATACCATATTCGCAGTATCAAACGTCCTGCTCAAATTAGCGTCCTTTGACCAAATTCTTGACCAATCTGTAAATAACCTTTATAAGCGCACCCTACTCAGACCGAAAAAATTTTCTTGTGCATATTACAGAAAACAAAAGCATTGTATGTTGTAACTGATATCAAAAACATTTTCGTTCCATCAACGTTGAACTTAATTTGCTCACTTCCGCTGATATCCAGGGGGCATATTACGGCGAATATGGTAAATCAGGTTTAACTTCTACCAAGTTTGGACATCAGAGCAGGGTATGACACCAGCTAAGGGATTACAGCTTCGGATGACAGGGTACAAGGGGATTGAATACAAAATGGATAAAATGAATAAAATGAAGATCTGAGTTCAAATACAATTTCAAAATAAGCAAATTTATGAAAACCACCAACAATATTAAGTTAGTTCCCCTCCCAATGCAGACCAGGACCGTCAACTCCAATGTTTACCACTAGCAGCACTGTAGCAGACAGTAGGGAGAGGGAGCACCTCACCAATGAAATCAATTTTTGGCAAAATAAACGAACCTGAAACTGACTAGCTTGAAGGCGGCTGCTCGACCAGCGAGCAACCATTCAAATCATGCTTCGGACTGATTTGGAGCAGGGTTCTGATTGGACCATTCAATACTGTCCGTGTATGAGACGTATGTCGGGAGACACCAGCTGTCACGCACCTGCACTGGTTGGTACTTGGCCACGGCGCTCACTTTTGGGCGGTTATAAGTACGAGATTTGGCAATGTACTTACAAGACTCCTCTTCTTCTGTGTAGGCGTAGATTGTCACACACGACACCACAAAACCCAGGAGCTGCAAGCAACACAGCAACATGGGTTCTATTATATCACATTTCAAACTTCCTTTTGACTACGATGCAGGCATGGAGACATGGTAAAACTATCACTTTTCACTCGTATGTCAATACTAAAACGGGTACTTGCAGGTTTTTGGTTAAAGTATCATAATCTGAGGACCCCCAACTATACAATTAGGCTCACGACAAGGACATGCTAATTTTATACACATAAACTGTATACTGTATTTAATGTGTCCACCCTCGAAAGTACTTACCTCAGGAAATGCCATCAAGTGCCATAGATTTATTATTTTAATGATATTGTTTGACTTAAAAGGAAGTAGAAATGAAGTTTCCCACTTCTATTCTTTATTCTTATTTTGGGACACATGCCTGTCGTTAAACATATTTTTTCTTCTTTTTGTCCTCAACACAATTTAGCCCTTGTTGCAAGAAGCATATTCTTTCAAGTTTCCCAAATACCATGTTTTACCCAAATATTGTTTGGCAACTGGAGGACTCACCGATAACAGACACTGCACAGCAGCATGGATTACTTCAACATAATAGTACTGCAGGATACAGCCGTCCACAAATTCCTCTGGGGGGATGGGGCGGCTGGCCTCGGGTGGCACTGAGCTCATCCATGAAGTGTTGGTCACGGTGCACCCAACTCCATGTTCCAACCACCAACTCTTATTTTTTGTTCCAATTGTTAAAATGTACAACTCTTTATCCTGAAACAAAATGCAGCAAATATTTTCATATATCCATATCTTAATTTATACTTTTGAGTTCTGTCTATGATAATACATGCCTGAAAGATAGTTTATTTTATGCCAAAACTTGAATGGGTATGATAGTTTCCAGTTTTTACCAAAATAAAATCAACAATAAATGTTTTGAAGCTGTTTCCAATAGTTCAATAGACACACTTGGTAAGCCACAACTACTAGTAATGATACCAATTCCAAAATGACCATTACTTTAAAACATTTTTATGTCTTTTACGTCGTAACAGTTGCAAGTTATCATAATGCATAAATCCCCTATAATATGGATCTAGCAAGGTCTATCCTATCCGGGTTTACCATGTGCTTCATGCATGTTTTTCTACACTGATCATGAAATTCCAGCCTACCAACCACAAGGCTATACCACCCCTTCTCACAACGCAGTGATGTACACCACTGAAGCTAATGCCAAATATTTACTCTTAACTTCATTTTATTTCCTAGGACAGAGCATTTGTGGTGAATCTGACTCATTCGAAGTGCAGGTACACCTGTCTTCACAAACATTAGGCAAGTACAGCGAGCCTTCATTTCTCCACTTGCCTGGCTAGTCCCGACAGACAGCATCACAACTTACCCTCCTCAATACTCCCACCTCCAGATAGATGCAGATAACAAAGAGGTTCCAGCCCAGCCATAACAAGCTCCAGACTGTATACTGAAACACAAAATATTAGTGTTGAGATCATTCATCAACATAAAAAATCTTTCTTCTTCTCACTCATCATCAAACTCCATTTACAGTCGCCCTGAGAAACACCTTGGCTGAATGATTAACGATTAATGATTAATGGGTACCGTCAACCCTGTTATCAGTTATAGTTATTCGGATAACATCCAAGGATTCATCTACTGCATTCAATTATTCACATCCAGTTTCGGAGGGAGGTCTGCTCTGATTTATCTTCAGGATGATATTTGCATATGGTCACGGGTCACAAATTGCTAATTATTTTCACTTCACATAAACAATGATAAATGATCTTCTGTTGTATCTTTTAGTTTTACAGACCCCAGAGCATACAGTAATAATATTATCACCCCCATTCTATTCTAATCCCCTTCTCAGGTCAAACAGGCTGAACCATCCAACTTTATTTCCATCAGTCTGCTTCTGAGTTGCAATCTATTATAGCTAAAATGGATAGAATTATCATAAAACCGCCCGCATGTTATAAAGAAAAAGCAGGCCACTGTAACTTGATAATGCCCTCATATTGCTTGATGATGGGCCATTATCACGCCTGTTGTTAGGTGACGTCATAGGATAGGGATAGGTGACGTCACGTTCAATAGTGCCGTCATCTGGTTTGTTCTATGACGTTTCCATATTTGTAAAAGTCGGTCAGTGACATTCATGTTGATTGCAAAAACATTTCAAAACTGATATTGTTGTTTCTTTTTATATGATAACAAATTCCATCAATTTTAGCTATAATAACAGTAACGCTATTTCAGGGCATTATCATTTGCAGAAGCCCTCAGTCATTTCAACTGCCCTCCTTAATGGAAGACCTCGGGCTGCTGCAAATGATAATGCCCTGAAAAATAGCGTTACCCTTATAGTAGCCCACAAGACCTTTCTGAATTTTTCAAGTCTTAGACTAGCAGACATGTAGCAGACTAGCAGACATGGTCTGAATGGACACAATTGTCTCTTCTAACAATATGTATAATAATAAATGGATAAAAAACTTACTGGTGGTGTTTAGTTACATCTAACAAAACTACCAATTATCTAGCATGTAGTAACCATGGTAATAAACTATGACCTTCAAGTGTTCAATATATTGCCATGCACCATTAAGTTGATCTATGGTTACAACCAAACTAAGGATCGAAGGGAAGTGTTTCATTTCAGATGTATCACTGATAACGAAACTCACCACTGCAAAATACCAAATCATTCCAGAGTATTTCAGCAGGGTAAAAATACGATTCAACCATAAGGTCGACCAACATGCAGGGATTGATTTGGGTTGCAATTCCAAGATATTTTCACATAGTTGTCATAGATTTTGCATCAACATTCATTCAGCGTGACTTAAAAGTCGCATACATCTAACAGTTACACTTTCAATAGTATCATCTACATTGACACTCACATTGACACAACAAGAATAAAACAATGTTGCATTGCTTAAATACAATTATCCACCACACCTTTTACAACAGTCGCTATTTCATGTCATCACTCTGAATATATTAAATTACGACTTTTACAAAGTGTCTCCTACATGCCAATGAAATGAACAGCTGAACGATATATAAATGTACTCATTCCTCTTAAAGTCGACAATAAACAGAACTACACAAGTATGATGTAATTTCTCCTAGGTAGACAATCAACAGAAATACATAAATATAAATGTAATTAGTATTTTTTTCAGTTGACAGTGCACATTATCATCATGATCATAACCCTTTATGTTATAATTCAAAGACTGAGGGGAGTTGCCTGGATAATGTTAACCTACTATCATGTACTATAGGGGCAAACCTTAATGATACCCCTAAATTTTAAACACTGTTCATACCAAAATCTACTGAAAATGATTCCAAGATAAAATTTTGGGCTGTATCAGTATGACTTTAATAAAGGTTAAAAGTTATGATTTCTTAGAAAAACCCTTAAAATGCGGCCTGCATGTTATGATAACATCACCGGGGATAATATGTCATCCCAGACTTAGCTATCTACTTAACATGCTTAGCAAGCATCAAGGAAATAACATTCAACATCCATGTCTGTTCCTGCTCTGCATGTCCGCATGACATTGAGTCAATAAGCTTCACAAATATAACTCACTTTATGAGAAATATACTATGTAACAGTCAATAAACTTTCCCTTAGTTCCATGCTGAGTGAAAGATGGCAACAGGTGTGCATGGGTGTTTGCAGTTTCTCTAAATGTTGGAGACAAATATTGCTATTGCTTTTAATGTAGAATAATTAGATCTCATATGATTAGATTTAACTCATTGCTAGATTAATTTTCTGAGGTTGTAAACATGTTGTGTATAATGAAACTTCTTCTAGGTATTGATATGGATAGCCTGTATTAGTCATACTGGGGCAAGTCAAGAGAAGTCAGAGCAGCGTACAATACCTATGCAGTCCTGTTCACCCAAGGCTACGAGGGGCAGCTGAAAGGTTCTGAGCCAAACTATGACGAATGAATGGTACGCCCTGAACAATTTGCATGTACAAAGCACAATACGTCCCATGTTTACAGGTTGCATATGAACAAAATACACAACCAGAAAGCATATTCCTGCAGGTATCAAAGTGAATAGGTATATCCTGTTAATGAAAATAGACAAAATGGGCTACCAGACAGTCATCAAGTTTCTCCAACTAAAAGGGCTAACTCCAACAGCCATCCAAGCACACATGGCGTCATCAGTCAAAGGTCAGACCATTAATAGCTAACATTATGCTAATCTGCTTAGGCAACAGCGTGAGAACACAAGGCTCAACATCAGAAAAACCTATGCACAAGTCTGTTGGTGCAAAGCATATTGATCTCACTGAACATCCTCCATCTTCACCAAATTTCCACCTATTCCCAAACTTGCCATTCATTGACACAAATGATGACATTATTTCAGTCGTAGAAGACTTCCGACACTGCCAGGAAAAGCGTTCAACACCCGTGGGATCCAGGCACTCCAGAAGTTGGCAGAAGTGCCTGGATCTCGGAGAGGATATGATAAAATATGATTTGCAACCACCTTCATCAACGCAGTCCATCATAGTTCGGTTCAGAACTTTTCAGGCACCCCTCGCATTTCATATCAAATGGACTAGTCTAAATCAATTTGATTTATCCAGATACACTAGTAGCAATTTTTATCACTCACCACTTATCTTATTATATCCTTCAAATGACACGATAATTTTCACAACCAGGACAAAGTTAATTCTTTTCATCACAGACACATTTCAAGCCAGTTCTGAAGAAACTAGTACTAAACACAACCAGGTTAGCCATTCCTATTTGTTTAAGGTGCAAAGTTCAGTAGGCTAATGTGTTTGGCCAAATTGGTACATAAAGGGCTTGTGAAATATCAGGTGAGGTGATGTTCTGCGTTCGAAGATTATGTGTGGCTGCTTGCACTAGTCTGAAATTATGTCGGTTTATAGCCCACTGAGATACCAAGCAGCAGTTTAACATGGATACCCCACTCAGACATGTTATACAGGCTCCAAGCCCAACTTATCCATGTCTTATTTCAATAATGATCAAGAACAGGCAGGGTAACAACATCTTTTAACATCTTTTGGTATGACACAGTCAGGAATCAAACCCCAAATCTCTCAGGGGGGGGGGAACACTATGAGAACTGCTAAAGCCCAAGTGTCAGTATGTGTGTATTGCATGCTTGAGTCTATGTTATCCCTCTTTCCTTTAGACCTTGAACTGCCATATCAACAACCCAGACAGAACCTATTCATACTTTCATACATTCCAGTGTGCAATATCTTATCATGCTTTATAGTCAAGTAAACATGAATGCATCAAGTTAAATGTAGGTATGATTATTTAATGGGAGGATAAATTCATTTGTTTATTCTTCTTGTTTAGAATTACCTCACAACCTGATGGATCGCTGCAAAGTTGTGGCAAATGTTTGGTCCCACAGTGTAGCCTTACAAAGTTGAGTCACTGGGAAGTGAGCTAACCCTTTCAGGGACATAAATAGGCCCCTATAATTGTCACTAACTGACTAATGTGGCTTTCGCATACTGATGTGCAATTCTAAACCATTATTTGCTCAGCATGAATTCATTCAGGCTGACATCATTGTGAGATTATTTTCCTCAAGGGATAATATATGTATGTGACAGACAAAAGTGAATAGACACTTCCTTTGCAACAATGACAACCTGATGTGACCTTTCAAAAACAGTGCTTGCAGTGAACATAAATTTGACTTCAACAGTTTAAATTATACAATGCTTTCCAGTAAGCAAAGGCTGCTCTGGTCATAAAAACATGACTATTCACTCCCAGTGTTTCAAATTAGGAATGCAGTCTGTGTCAATAACATGGGCCTACTAGCCTGAATAAGTATAAGGGCATTATTTTCAGTATTATTTAACCTTAGCATATTGAGTCCAGGGCTAGTAGAAGCTGATCTCACTGAACCACAAGACATTTTACTTGACATGGATGAGAAACTAAGGACTCTGTCAATGATAATAATATAGACTCATGGCTGAGTGACTACATGCACCCTTTACAACAGCTTCAATCTAATTGGACTTCTGTCAGTGATCTTAAGTTTACCAACTAGGACCAATCATTTGCACAACTGTCTTTAGTTTCATTAACCAAGTGAGTGAGGGGCTACAAGCACCATACAAGTCTTATTTTGAATTTTTAAACATTGAGAAAAACATTTTGTATACCACCCAACATGCTAAAGCAATCATCATCTATGACATTTTACATGACATTCTGGCACATATATCATATCCCTGGAAGGAAAACATCAAGTTCACCAAAAAAGTGCTTGACAAGACTTCTTAACCACCTAACAATGCTAACTCTCAATTCAACATGTTCACATTGAATCATCAGGGACAGACACAGCAAGCACTCTATTTTTCCAATACTAGTGAAGATTTCACAAGATTTAAGAAGTGTTCTC